GGTCACAAATTTGTCCAATGCGTAAGCGACACATTGCAAAAATACAGCTCCGAGTACTCAAACAACACATGCAATAGCACAACAAAATATATAAGCAGCACAATTGGGGGCTGATGCTTTGTGCAGAAAGGAAGGGCGTTTGCACCTTGCCGTTCAGGTACACAAACACTACATGATTCAGCAACAACTCTGCCATGGCTGCACGACCACCATCGGCTGCCCAATGAAGGGGGGTCCTAGCATCCTGAGTGACATATGATTGGGTTGATTTCGGTACTCTTGTGCATCCTATTTGTAGCACAGATAACAAATATCGTAATGCGAACAATGCATGCATTAATTGGAGCAGCATCGAGCAGCAAAAAGTGCAAATCAGGAGAAAAACGAAGATCTAAGCGTTCATGTACTACCAGGAGCACCCTTGCAGCAACAGTTTTACAAACCCAGTACTGACTCGCCCAGAACTTAAGTGGATCATTTGCAACAGCGCAGTCGTGCAGCACTTAAGAAACACCTTCACTGGTGCACCAAGTGCCTGTACTGGACAAGTATTGTCCAGTACTTACCAACGTGTGCACTAGCACACTCGCCCAGTACTCACAGAACACATGCAACAGCCCCCTTGCTCAATACTTAAGCAACGGAACTGGAAGCAGGCTCGACCAGAACTTGTGCAGTGCATGCGGTGGCGCATTCAACGACGACTAAAGCAATACATGCCACCACACATTTATCCAGTGCATTGTCCAGCCTTGCAGTTTTATGTTGGAGGGAACTCGAAACGAATTGCAGCTAACATTTGCCGTCCATGAACACAGAAATGGGGGGTGCTTCGTATTGCAGACAGCACCTAACACCGCACAGGTGGCCAGGCGAGCAAACTACTATCCGCACACAAACTTGTGGCCTGTGAAATGAGGTCAAGATCTGTCCACAGTTGATATGGGTGAATATTGCCGACTAATGCATGCCCACCATGAAACAAACGGAAGCCCAGGGTCAGAGCGCCAGCGCCAGGGTGTAGTGGAAGTTCTAAAACAACGATTGTGGTACCTCAATGGAATGCAACCAGGGATGCTGTGCTGTATCATGGAAGGGGGCAACCTTGGCTTCATGGGCAGCTGTTCTGACATGCCAATTCATATGCTGAATGTGAAGATGATGGCACCCAATTTGTTATCGGCTCCAAGCAATGCCCAGATGTCTTGCATCTTCTGCATGAAAGAATCGTTTTGCTAAAAAGCCAGAAAGCGTTGGGAAGCCACCAGCTCGCTGTTCACTTCCAATCAGAAACATAAAAGCAGCCACAGCTGGCCACAGTCATCGGCAGCTCAGACTTCCTTGTCAATGCAGCACCGATGTGGTGCCCGTCTTCCATTGCAAGGCTTGAAGAAGCTTATGAGGGTGCCCGCCAGAATGTTACCGTTTTGGGATTTGCGTAGTCATACTTGGATTTGGGCGGTTCCGCTCATAGGCTTGAACTCCGCTTGCAATTGCAACTGGGGGAAAATGTTTCATTACCCAAACCATGAAGCTGCTCAATCTGTATTATCAAGCAGGTGATCGAACGCTGTGGACCCTGTCTTGCGGAAACCGCTGCCTTTTGCGCGTATGGTTGGTGCAAGGGAACCTCATGCACACTTCCAGGCTCCATCACCAGTGGCAAACGGAAGCATCACATTGTGCATCAGCAGTGTAGCGCGCCTGTGATTTGTTAAGTTCTCGCATAGGTACTCTGCCAGTCACCATAGAAGCTCGCGATTGAGACCAGCATTCCAGTTACTTGTTAAAAAAGTGCGGCAGGGCGGTACCTAAGTTCCTGCTCAGCTCTACAGCTGCCCAATGTTGCCTGACAACAAACACCAAAACAGGCATCCAGGAGCAGATGCATGAGATGAACTGGGGTCTTCATGACGATTTTGGTGTGCTTAGTGTCAAAATGACGCCAGGGTGCCGGCCCGGGGTGAGGTGGGGTGGGAGGATTGTGGTGCTCAGAGGTTGTTTAATTGCCACAACAATCGGCACAAGAAGGAAAAGTGCCCAAAATGCCACTGATAAGCGCAAACAACTTGTTTCCAAACCTCTTGCAACGGTTGGATGTCCAAAGAAGGCCTTAGGATGGATCTACTGCAGCCATTGAGGCTGCCACCTCGCCTATAATTGCATTTAGAATCCATTTTGTAAACCGCTGAAATCAGCACAACTTTGACTGCCTTTGTCCTCAAAACCACCTAGAAGTTGTACACCACTGTCATGTAATGTTCCTGAATCCTCCTTGTGTCAATATAAAGACTGACACTAAGGGAGGGAGTGGGGATCTGAGCTTAAGGGAAAACGCTATTTTGAATTTGATACGCTTAGCGTCAATGTGACGTCAAGGTCAGAACCCCCCCCTCCCCTCCGTAGTGTCAATGCTTGTTTCGATTCCAGGATGACTCATCAACATTATGTAACAATGCCATACAACTTCAAAATCGTTTTAAGAGAAAAGTATAGCCGAAATTGTGGCGATTGCAGTGGTTTAAGTAATGCATGCCAAAAGCCATAGTAGGCGATGGGAGCAGCCCCAAAGATGGAAACCTTTGAGGGAGTTTTGCAACAAGTCATGGGCTATCTGCTACTAACCAGTGGCGTTTTCTTTGCATCTTTCCACCTTGTTTTGGTTTTAGTACTGTGAGGACGAAAAATGTGCATGAATAATTAAGTGAGTATGGTGAATTGAATGTGGTGTTCATTGTGGCGACATGGAGAATGATGGGGGAAAGGCGTGAACTGGACATGCTTGCGGTGAATGCTACATGATCATGTAGCATGTCCGTCATGACGGACAGAACCATTCCGTAATCCATCTGGTCGCAGCTTTGTTTCCCGTGCCTGGGAGCGACCGTGTGTGAGCGTGAGGAGCGCGAACAACGAAACCATGCGATAAGTACAATAACATAATCTCTGAGCGTCAATGGCTGGACCCCTCCCCACCTCAACAACGCCAATTTGAAGCCAAGCGTACCAAAACCGACATAGCGCCTTCCCTAATACATTTCCACATTCGTCAGAGCAGCAGGCGGCACACCGAGGTGTCGTCCTGGCGGTGGCAAAAGTGGTGCATGTTGCGTGACACAAAACGTTCCCGAAGGATCGACTGGCAGCTGACAGCACCTCAACGGTGTGCGTCGGCCCTCCGAAAGAGCAAAATCCCATAGGTTTGGCACCTTGCCACCAGCCAGGATCTCTACTCATATTGGAAACAATTCTGTTGGGTGTAATGATAGATAGCGGAATGCACTGCACTCTTCCTTGCCCGTTGCAAGTTGCTTTGAAACAGGAGTGGGGCATTCCGCCAGAGGTACTCGCCTGGATGCCTGTTATCGACATCTATTTCAACGTCCCGCGCCAAAACAAGTTCATGACCGAAAAAAGAATGGGTGGAGCAGCCCTAGCGGGTCCGAACGCAAACCCCTAGAAGATCCCGTTGCCACAGCGGATGAAGAAGTGGGATAGTAATGGCAGGTGGGGACACACAATTAACATTGCCCACGGCCTAACCCCCGTCACAATATTACCCATGGACAATGACGCAAAAAAGAGTGGTGGCAGTGACTCAGAAAGGAACAGCGCCGTTGCCAAAGCGAGAAGAATGTCTCTTTTGACAAAAGAAACCCTTCACTTCTTGATGGCTTCCAATATTTGAGACGGGGGAAGGAACGGCTCAAATGTTGAAATCAGCAAAATTGAATAGAACCAGGCTGTCACGCGACAAATCTGAAACACAAAATGCGACTCTCAGCTCCCTTGTTTGTTATCGACTCTCTGCACGCTTCAAAACGCCCTTGCGTTGGCCTTCACAACACAAGGTAACGTGCTTGGCCTGCTACGCAGGGAGCATCTTAGCAGTGTTGTGCAGGGAAGAGCACAATTTACATCCCAACAAAATACACCAAAAAGTTCGCCCCGTGCATTCAGAGTTTCTGTCAATGTTCGTGGCCCCTGCAGCAGCAAACGTGTCCGCGCATCACGACAACGTGGCCGCTGCTCTGCTCCTCCCCCATGCCTCAATAAGTCGATGTGAAAAAGCAAAACATGAAGTTTATTCTTGGACCTCGGTCGATCACCTCCCAACACAACACCTCCTGGCCAAGTCCTCGAACACATTCACCCTCACCCCGCTGTCACCTAGCTGCCATCAAGGCAGACTCAGCAACAGCAAGTCACAATGGAGATGGACACAGCAGTTCCTGAAAAGCTACGAAAACGTTCATCTCGGCAGCACCAGGCTTGTGTGCAGTAGTGCCTCGTTGGCAGACAAAAGAAGGCACACACGCCTGCAGAAGAAAAGAAACGCCAGATTTCTGGCCAGTAACTCAATCCTACTGGGAGGGCTCCTCTCCCACCCAGCCCAGGCCTCCGATCGCCTTCCTCGATCCTTTGCCACACCCCCTCGTATCCTCTCTTCCTAGAAACCCAGACCGTGAAGAAAACGTACCTATGGTCACTCCTGCAAAAGGGCGCCAGGGCGCCCGGCATGCAGGCTGGTCAGCTGACTAATCACACCATGCACAGTCGAACTATATAACCTCTCACATTCACAGCTCCGCAACTCCCAACCCTTGAGTCTTCCTCAATACCACAGCGCAGAAGCTTGGGTTCATTTCTCATCAACATCCATATCCTAACGAGCAAAAAGCCCTTATTAGGAGCAGGGCAAGATCATAGCTTTGGCAAGTCCGCATCCAAGAGAGGAGCAAGTGTGCTTCCCCCTGCCAATGTCCAGCGGTTGTCATGGCCCAAGCCCCTCCAACACCTGACGCTCTTGGCAACGGCTCTTATTCCGAACGTGCCGTCCGGGCAACTTCCTCTTCCAGAGCCGCGGGATACGCGTCTCAGCACTCCTGTGGGGGCCCCTCACAGCTCCATGGATCGCCCCTCCTAGACTACCACAGCTCGTTCTCCTTTCCAAGTTAGGTCGCGACTCCAGCTCGGGCGTCGTTGATGCAGTGATCGTGTCAACTCCGGACGAAACACGCCTTCGCACAACCAGCATGCACCATTATCACCAACATGCGCCACATCGTGCATACGTGCACATCATTACGCATGATGCTGCTTCGTTGTGTGGCATTACAACTGCAACGATGGCAAGTTTCTTCCTTGCTGACCAACATCAAGGACCATGAACAGTATGCAGTGGAAGGCGACACCTTAAGAAATGATAAGCGAAGTTCCTGGCAGCTGATGAGCCACAGGCACCACTTAAAGCAGCACCTGGCATAGGGCTGAGAATGTCTGGCACACTAAATAACTTGCCTTTCCATTCCATCGAAGATGTGAGTGCAATGCATTTTTGGCAACAAAGTGCTATGAGTCACCACCATGCCTGGATTTCTTGCTCATGTTTCTTGACATGCTGACTATAAAGCACAAGGCACACAGGACAACACCACACATGATCATATCTGCAAGCATCAGGGCTGGTCACAACCAAAGACCAGCTCAAGGGCTCACCAATATTCGCTTGGCCCCTGTCAGCTTACTGTTGAGGTCCTGCAACGCATCGCAGAGCAACAGACGTCAGCAAGGCATGGGCTCGTGCCCCACGCTGGCAGGGCATACCCAGCATATGTCCAACCCACCCAACATCCCACATCTGACACTTTGATAAAATGCATGCAGTGCATGTGAACAGTGCCCACAATTGCAGCAGATAGATCCAAGATAAATGATCAGTGATTCTGTGATAAGAATGGGATAAAACTGGATTTGCGCACACACGCCGATCTCCAATTCACAACAGAACAAATCCCAGCAGATCTGCTAGACACAGGATTAGGTGTGAGAAGAGGCTCTCTTACAGGCAGCTGCTGGAGGACATCTGCTGTCAAGGCACACCAGTGTGATAGTACAGCCTTTGCTGTGCACTGTCACAAGAACTTTTTGAGAATTGCAGCATTCCAGCACAAGGTACCACAAGGCGATCTAGACACAACATAGCCATTTTGTGGGTTTTGGCAACAAGCATTCCTAGGATGAAAGTACATTGCAATTTCTGGATTGCTCATTCTGCGGATTTCGAGGCAGTACTACGATGGCAAATGTGCCGCCAAAACCCAATTTCCCTGAGGATCATAACATGGGAACTCCATGAAATATCACCAAAGACATTTCTAGATTGGATAATATCTTGAGAATTGCATTTCACCTTGTCCTTGTGCTTCTTCTCCCTTGGCCTGTGGACAGCAGGGCAGAAGTAGAAATGAGCAAAACGACAGCATATCAGCATGCAAGTCAAAGACCCATGGCCGTGTTCAGTCCCTGATGCAACCTGGGACATTCATGTAATCCCTTGCATCAAGGAACCAAGTCTCAATAACGGCATTCACAAAAGACACTCTATGCACATAATGTGCTCTTCTCTCTGAGAGCCTTTCAAGGGGTGGCAAACTCTGTCGATGAGAAGCTACACAGCAAAGAGCAGCGCCAAACGCATCACAAGGAAAGCACATCCAGATGTTGCCCACTCCCAGCTATTCCAGACAAATTTTGGCCCACTACTCTGCAATTTTCAGCAGCTCTGGCTGCTCAGTGCTTGGATCGCAGCAGCACCTGACAAGCAAGCCCCTGCCTCCACACCCCTATCGAGGGCGTAGGGCAAATCAGCAAACAGCATAGCAGGACTGTGCCCAGTGCTGCATTTACAGTAGTCAGGGGCTGCACTTTTAGCGTTCTGGTAAATGCAAGCAATGGATGTGCCCCCCCCCCCCCCCCCCCCCACCCCACCGCCTGGCAATACATTACAATGTCATCGTTGCTGGGAGTTTAGGTGCCTCACTGCCTTGGCTTGGGTTTAGGGTACATTGGGCAACCAAAGAGACTTAGATTTGAGCAAAAAGACAGAGCACTAAGACACAGAGCACTAATGGACATGTACACTTAATCTGTTTAGGGCCACCAAAATAAGACCACACTCATTGCCTAAGGCCTGTCAATCGCCTGCCAATACCATGTGGTCCACTCCACATTTCAGTTCATGACCATGAGCATGCCAGATCAAATCAATTCACGGAAGTAGCCCAACTGCATCGCTGTGCAGTGGCGAGCTTGCATGATGCTTTATTGGAGGCAAGACTTTCTCTGGAACTGCGCTTACTGACACTGAGCTATGGCCACTAATGTCCAGTTGGTTGGCTGTCATCAAGCAATCACTGGGCACTGAGTTAATGCTGCACGATTGAAATAGTGGGCAAGTACAGCACACACATGCCAAATGCTGATTCGTAAGGACAGCCGTCTCCTCAGTCAAACAACACATGCCCCCTGAATAAGAGGATTCTTGGGCGTCCTCCCCAATTTGATGCCACACTTTGGGTTGGTCCTGCATTGCCTTGGTGAAAGGTACACAACTGCACATCTTCCCTCCCAAAAGAGAGATTTGAACTCACTGCGGCACTAGCCCTTGTGTCACTGCAGAACCCAGCTTGCCACCAGCATCCTGCGTGTGTCCCTTGTGCCCCGTCGAACTGCTATCTGGCTTCCGCCTGATCTTCTGGTTAATCCAATCGAAGTTGTAATCCCATGAATAACCTGCTCGAAAGATGCAGTGTTGCTCATCGCACAGTGGATTTACCAGCGACCAAAACACAAAACTCACATACAAAGAAATGAGAATAACAAAATAATATTGAGTGCAAAAAGTTCACGGGAATGAGTTGCAAGATTCCATGGACAAGATACATATGTTGGGTCAGGCATGTAAGATAGCCTTGTTTTTGCCTTTGCTAGTTCCCTGCATCGCCACTGTGCGGCCCCACAGCTCACTTGCCATTCGTCTCATTGTATTCCCTTCTCACATGCAACAACAAGGTGGGTCATCCCTTGGTGGGGAACAAGACTGTAAGCTTATGGTCCAGCAAATTACAACAACAAAGTAACTTGGACTGGCTCATGAACCTCTGACCCACCAACACCCAACTGGCAATGATGAGTTTGGACTCCTTCTCCTTTAAGGCTGTTCCATTAGTCAGCTTCAACAAAACCGTTCAGCACCCTCTATTGCCTGATAATGTCTGGCAAGGAACCACAAGCACATCACATCTACTGCAAATGGAACAGAAAAAGAAACCTTCACCCAACTGAAGCAGAACACAATCCTGACGGACAAAGTCACGATTCACACAGAATGCTGTGTGTGCACATGACCACAACGAACAATATCACACACACCTTGGCGGTGAAACAAGTTCTGAAACCTCTTCCTCAGGCCTGCATAGTCCGGCTTGTCATAATATTTCAAAGTCCTCACATACGTGAAGTAGTCCACGAAAGCCTGAGGGCACCCTCGGCAAAGGTCCTCCAGCCGCACCTTCACAACCAGTCATTTGTCTTCATTCAGGAGATCCCCAGCATGCTCCCAGGAAAACAGTCTGGCAGACATTTGTTACGGAACAATGCCCAGGGCCATGTGGAATTGCACTCATAGGGTGGACCTGACAAACCTGTTGGATGCTGGTGCACCAGGTACCACAATTCAAATGTAACAACCGATGCAAGCAATGCTGCATGAATGGAATCATGGCAATGGTGAACTGAACACAGGTTGGATGCTAAACAGCTTTGCATGAGTCTGACTCATGCCTTCAGATGGCTTGCCTCCCACTCCTCAGCCACACCTTTGCCTTGGTCTCGCTGATCCTCTGGTACTTCTGCTTCTTGGTGGCTGCCTGCAGGCCCTGCCATGGCAGGCTGCCGCGTAGAAAATACATCAACACATACCCAAGGGCCTCCAGGTCATCCCTCCGACTCTGCTCGCTGCCCCGATGGGCCCAGAGGGAGGCGTAGCGCGCAGTGCCCGTCAGGTTCTTGCCCTCGCAATAGGGCACGTGCTGGAAGGTGCGCGGATCCCGGTATTTCTTGGCAAGGCCGAAGTCGATTATGTGCACCTGGTTGGCGCGCTTGCCCAGGCCCATCAGGAAGTTGTCAGGCTTGATGTCGCGGTGGATGAGGCTCTTGGAATGCAGGAACTCGATTCTGGATAGCTGGAGACACAGGTACAGAAACATGTTAGCGAACAAAGTCCCACATATTCTCGTTCAAGAGGTGGGTGACCATCGAATATGTCTCGGGCAAAGTGTTGAGCCTGTCTGCGAACGGGCTCGTCGGGATGCTTAGACATCCTGAACGTCAGGGCGCTGAAATCGGGTTGCTTAGGGGCATCCCGAACGTGCACTTGCATGTGTGAAGATTTTGTGTCAACAGCCAGATGAATGTACTGAAACCACAGCTTGCAACAACTGAACACAACATAGAGGCACAAGCAAGCCAATAAAGCATAATATGGTTTTGGGGAGGATATTCTGAGTCCAGTGGCAATACCCTTCGTTGCCTCAAAGGAAGAAGAGTGCACTTTCTGAAAATACCTCTGTGAGACAATACTGTCAGGCCACGCAAGACAACATGTCCAAGCCCTGAAGGTGCACCCAGCATTTGTTGATGCCACATTTGCTGTTGAAATAGGACTACATCTTTCTTGCACCATCAGTGCCCTAAGAAGACAGACTACATGAATTGGATACGATTGCTCTGAGGCCAAACCACTGTGTCGCTTTCCCATCTTGTAGGTGTGTATATTGTTGCAGAACCACGTCAATGGACTCAACAGAGTCAGTCAACTGCTAGACAGCAAAGCCATTCTCTTGCTGGCATACGAAGTCTGCAAGGAGTCTGGATCCACGTTGGTTTCCATTCTCCCAAGGATTTGGTCTATTCCCTTGATAAGCCCTTGTCTGCTTTTCAAACGATGCAGGTTGCCATGTTGCCTTGCAGATTCTAACGTACGTACCATCTGATCTGCCAACATCAGGACCGTCTTCAAACTGAACCTCCGGCCGCAGAAGTTGAACAGGTCCTCCATGCTCGGTCCCAGAAGGTCCATGACCTGCACAACCGATGCCCGCCTCCCTCTCACCCACAGACAACGTCCCAAAGCCCCGTTCAAAACAGCCTTGCCACCACGAAAGGGCTTGAATGCACTGAAGGGCATGGTTTGCAACTCGTGCCAACTCGCCCGTGTCCCTGCCAATGTGCTGGGGGGGCTGAGAACGTGATCTTGACCGGCGGAATGGCCCGATTCGCTGCGGGGTTCGGTTCCGCTGTTAGATTGTCGGATCGACCCCGCAGATGTGCAAGCCCCTTTCGAGACCAGGCGCCGATGCAGATCGCCCCGTTCCCACGCAGAGAGCCACGCGCAACCGTGCACAGAGCAGCGTCTGCATTACGAGGCGGTGGGTGTTCGTCGACGTCACACTTGCGTCGACGGCCCTCCCATGCGCGTAACCGCAGGGAAAATCAGCGCCCACTCACCATGTAGTTGTTGGCGCCGTCCACGCCGTATGACCGCACATTCGGGATGCCCACTGTGCGTCAGAGGGCAAAAACCGAATCAGCGGATCGACAGGGCAGCGGAGACTTTTCTTGCAGCGCACGAGGCGAACACTGGGACCGCACCTCCACCCTTCAGTATCTTGTACAGTTTGGATTCGTACAGCAGCTGGGGCTGCCTCGATTTTGCCGGTTCCTGCGCCAAGCGGTGAGGTAACAGGGGGGTCAAGATTGTGCTCGGAAAACGGAATGGAAACACGTCACTCGCAGGGCAACGGCCACCCGGCGCGAATGTTTTTCCCACTCTCTTCCTCGCCGCAGATGGCGACGCGCAAGCGCCCGAGCTGGACAGCGACCGCGCCAAACGACGCACGGAGGCCTCCCGCAGCGCAACGCGGTTCGTCGAGGCATCCCACTAAATCCAAAAATTCGCCTTTGGGCTTGTCCGATGCCGACGGCACACACCGCAGCGATCGCTCCCGCCACGCCAGAACAACCGCACCCACCAATTTAATCCCGACCTCCTCCTTCGTCTCCATGTTAATTCCTGCGGCGCCGCACACACACGGACCGTCAATTCCCCCACCCTCCCTTCGTCTTTGCGTACCCCGCGCCCTGCTCATCATTTGGCATTTCAGACCCCCCCACATCATCTCTCCACAGCACGGAAAGGGGTCACGCACACACTTGCTTGGGAGCGGGCGCCCTTTGTGCGACCTGTTTCTCTCCCCTTCTCTTGGTAACAAATCTTACCCTCGCCCCCGCCTACCCCAACACCTACCAAAACACACTCCATTATCCCCCACCCCCCGCGGTTCTTCGCACCCAAGTATATGTCCCCGAACGAGCCCGACCCCAGCTTCCTGCCCAGGCGGTAGCGCCCCGCCAGCAGCTTGTCGCTGTCCTCCATCCTCCCCGGCCCCTCGCCCCTCGCATGCGCCACCACCGCTCCCCCCCCTTCGCCCTCCCGCGTCCGATCCCCTCCGATCGGATCCCCTCCTTCGGGCGCCGCTCAGCGAGAGGGTCCCCAAGCCGCCGGCGGGCCGCGGGGCGCCGGCGCGAGGCCACGCGGGGCGGCCGACCCGAGAGGCCGGCTGTGGCCCTGGGCGCCATCGACTAAGCCTTTGATTGCCGGGGCATTAGGAGTGTGGGTTGACGGGAAAGGAAGTTTTGGGTGGCCGGCCGGGCCCGCTGCCACACGTATTGTCTGGAACTTTTCCAGAAGCTGCTCTGTTGCGCGGCAGTAGACGCCGCTATACGGAGTCGAGGGCTCTGAACAAGCGCTGAGCACGGTGCCAACGGGGTTTCATCTGTTTCCTTTGTGCAAGGGAACAGACACTCTGCGTGTGGTGGAGGCTGTGAGGCCATGTACATTGTGCAGAGTCCATTCAGTTTGGTTTGCCACTGATTTCTTGCTTCGATCATCTATCTATTCGATCTGGCAGGCCCTTGGGGATCACCTTTTCCCTGCCACTAGCTGGTTTTTGGGTCGTCTGCAACAAGATGGCTTGGGCTCACAAAGGTGATGATCAGCATTGTAGATCATTCTGGTCCACAAAGCTCCATCATTCTGGTCCACTTCGTTCAAAATTTCCCTGGCTGGCAATGGATCAAACAGTCAAATTTTGTTGTCGCAACCAGTATGGTGCACAGCCAAACATTTATGTCACACAAGTTCTTTCGGGAAGCAGATTCTCACAGCCCTTGTGATGTTTCCAACATGCAAGTACCACCTTCAAATGCCCCCGAATGTGCCCCAGCGTGGGCACAGCAATATTTCCTGACAAGCCATGGCCAGAAATCACATCAGTGCAGTCACCAATGCGGCCAACAGTCACAGTGCAGTTATAGGAAGCAAGCAACGCCCTTCTGGCAAAGAGGGTGCCAACTCCGTACTGCGTGCTTAGGCCTTGTGCCCACGTTCCCTCACATGATGCCAATTTACCAATTCTGCTGAGAGTCCAGAACTGAGAAGATGTGAGACCCGTCCATGTACCGTTCAATGCCATGCACACAAGCCTGGTGTCAATCCGAACCCAGGTGCCAAACGACGCACCCATGATCACACAAGAGCAGGCACATTCAACTCGTATGCCTTTGCATGAGACTGACAACAACCCCAGCTTCGTTTTACCATCAGGCCAGTTCATTTAAACTACCGGCATGCCTGCTGCGCGAGCGAGCCCCTATCTTGCAGGTGGGCGCATTCTAAATATAATGATCTACTGGTTCATTATTCCCTCGCATAACACTACTGCTGACAGAATTTCCTCATCATCCGATGCACACGGGTGACAAGCATCCCAACCACCTCGCTACGATCTAGCCACACAGCCGCCTCCCTGTCCACCAGGCTCCACTCCACCAAACAGAAAAGGTACACATCCTGAATCCCAGTACTTCACTCAAGTACTGATACATGCAAACAATTCACGGCAATCCCCTGTGATGATTCACAGAGCTGTTTGAAAACATATTGCTAGAATATGCCTCCAGAACTGATGCGCAAACGTGATCCTCAGAGTTCCCCTCAAGCAGCAATTGACAGCGTCGACTGAGTTCTGATTCACAGAGCTTCCTTTGAGGCTGACTAGCCGGCAGTCATGTTCGCTGCAGGGCTGGATGAGAGCACGAAGATGCAGGAAGCACTGCACTGCTGTTGCACAATCCAGGCACTGATTCCTATGTTATGGTAGCGCCCTCTGTCAGGTCGAAGTCTTCACTCAAGAATGGCCAATAGGGCTCATCTGGAGTCTCATAGAATGTGGGTTGACCGATGGACGCCCGAAGCCTGTTCCACATCTTGCCCTTTGGGTCGACCTGCGCCAAAAGCCAGAAGCCGCTGTCATCATTCAGCCCAAATACCCCAAAATTCCAGCCTTCCCTAAAGCTCCGCTTTCCTTGCTGAATTGCGGTGACGACTTCCAGAAGGTGCACACCAATTTCACACTGGGTGACATTCAATCTGCTGGTGTCCATTCAACTCGGTGTGAACCTGATTTGGAGAAGAATCGGCAATTCCTGGTGGGTCATTACATCACCACCAAAGCTGCTGTGGCTGTGTTCCATTTGAGAAAACTGCCACAGCACACTTATCCAGAAACTGCATTCGGGGCAAGGCCATCTATCCAACTGCAACCACAGATAGCAGCAAGCATAGTTTTCCACAATACATTAAAGTTGTGTGCAAAGATGGGTGGACATGAAACCCCCTCCTGACTTCGTGCGCAGCTTTCCTTAACCTCAAAACACCCTCCAAGGCAAGCATGGCCCCATCTTGGTATTCCCTCATCACCATCACCAGCCACTTCGGCCAATGCTTCAAGCATGTTTCATTCCAGTTACCTCCAACCACTCAATAGAGCCAGCTCTGTGCAAAACTTATTTGCACAAAAGTTCTCATTTCAACACATACTTTCTTCAATCTTAAGCTGTCATTCTCACAAACGAGTCTCACATAATTCCTGCTGAGAAAGGGAATTTCACAACTGTACAACAGGTCTCCTTTCTGCCACCAATTCAACCACAAACAGCCAACCGCTCCCAAAATTGTTGAACAACAACAAGGACACGGTCTGGTCACATTGCAACACCTTGAATCAACGATGTTTCATGCTACCCACCATTCGAGGAGCTGCGATGACGACAGGGATCGGCAGATACACATAGTGCGTGTTCACCAGCCCCACGGTGATGCCCGTGTACCCAGCAAAAGCGGCATGCACAGAGTTGTGCGCAAGAATCTTGCAATACACGCGGTCGGTGGAAGCACACGGGATGGCACGGATCATGTATGTGGGGTCGATGTACTTTATGTCAGCGTCCTTGAAGTGGGAGTGCATCTCCTGACGCAGGAACTTGCCAATGTCCTGTAGGATGGGGTTGCCACTGGCATCTGTTGCCTTGGAACCATTCCCATTGTTTGTCTGTGCCATCACGTTCTGCAGCAAATGAATCCATCAATCGGTTCATTTTCTCCTATCTCTGTCCCAGGACCCCTGCTGAAGCATATTTGTGAAAATCTGGTGCAGTAGGTTTGAAACGCAATTTTGGATCGGGGACAACGTCATGTTTTAATGTCTTAGGAATCTTTGCGCCATCACGTTCGGCAGGAAACGAAGGCACTCAACGGTCATGGGTTCCTGCCCCAGCTGCTGCCTGGACAGAAGACATATATGGCTTTGCAGAGCATTGTTGATGGCTTCAAATGGGCATCCCACCAGCATCTCATTTCAGGCAACTCAGTGGGGAACGACACAAAAAAGGTCGGAAACAGGCACACACACCAAAACATTGTGGTGCTCAACAGCATCCAACACGCCATTCAGGTGAATGGGGAGCATTCTGCCACAACTGGGTAACAGCAATACAACAGAGCTACTGTGTTACCTGTTGAACAACAACCATTGCCTCCCTGCGGTGGCATTCAATGTACCATTGATGGGCTCAGATGTTCTGACAAGAGAGGAACCTGCAGGGCTGCTTGTCTGTTGTCAATGTCGCAAATGCACATTTATACAAAGGGGAATCTAGGCTGCAGCGGTTGCCATCTGTCAGTAGTCCGAGTTGGCCAGATGTGAAATGGATACTAACATGAGAAGCAAACCTCCATTGAGAGGAACAATGGCTGTCATTTGCCTCACGGGTCAAAAGGATGTGGCTTGTCACCAGACACAAATGCACTGTTCAACATTCAACCCTTCCGCATCAGAAAATTTCACCGTTACTCTCTTTGCTCCATATTTTGTTTTTTCAGAGCGTTATTTTAAAATTTTTATGTTGCTCCCCACGGAAAGGCCAAGATTTGCGTTACTATATATACTATCTTCTCCGCAAAATAGGGCCAAGCGTTAAGTTACTATGTGGAAGGATTTAAACCTCCGGTACACAAAAAAGCACTGCTGTGGGTCAGGTTTGTCATTCTCTTAACCCACTGTCACCATGTGCTGGAGTGATCAAAATATTTGGGGACGTTGTTTTGGGAATGCTGGGGAACACTTTCGGGGTACGGAAAGTAACGATGCTGGACCCAGACGCCCTACGCTTGCACAACAAACAATATGCTGCCTCTCGTGAGGCAGCTCTCGAGACGTTCAGATTAATTTCCTTATCTCGCATGCTCACCTGTCCAGCCCCCTCGGCAACACACACAACGGCGTGGCCCTTGTGTTGTATCACCTTCTTCAGGTATTGGAACAAACCCTTCCGACCGTAGAGCTCAAAAGGAACCTCCGGAATGAGCACGGCATCCACAACACCTGCAATGGGACCAGTACTGAGATATGCAACACCGAAAGTGCACATGCCAAGCTTGGAGCACTCAAAGCATCCAAAACAACCCAAATATTGGAAAGGGTTTGGCTGCGCCAGTTGCACACTTGTAACAACTATACTACCACAATGACACTTTGGGAACACATTCATTGACAGTATAGTCCAGGGTACAGGAATTGTGCTGCAGGAATTCAATGCCGTGTTGCTGGGATCAGGTGCATGCAGGCTTGATAACTGTGAAGGGGACAGACTATTGCTTGAGGTAAACAGTCCCTTGATGAAGTGCAACAACATGCACCATTATGTGCCTTGCCAGGGGACAATGCCAAAACTGGAGTGGTGGATTTCTGCGATGCACAGTGCGCTCTCCTGCTTCCCAACAATCCTCTCTGGCCCCTATGCCCCTGGTACTTATTTGGTAAGTTAAAGAAGGCAATGTCTGTACTCAAAAACAGGGATGGTGCTTGATATATTTCCTTCAAAATTCAGAACTGGAAGGAAGGAAACAGAATTTCGTGGGCATTGCACACCTGAAGCCAGAGAAGCCTGCATTGCAATGAAGCCACTCTGCCTGCCCATCAGCTTCACCAGGCCGACCCCCTTGTAAGCGCTGGAGGCCTCCACCTTGGCTGCAAGCAGTGCACGTTGCGCTTCTTCAACAGCAGTGTCAAATCCAAAGCACTTGTCGATCTGCGAGCATACCGTCACCTTTCAATGCCTCATTGAGTGGCTGTTGGGCTGAAAATCAGCTCTCAGAAACTGGCTGAAGGGCCCATTCACAATAGGTGAAACCAGCTGGGCAAAATGAATGTTGTCGCATTAGTTGCAATTTGCTGCATGGTACCACTCCCCACTCATTGATGTCATTCAGAAACACTCGGCACCTTGTATCGACCTGTTCAACAATTGCTGATACTTGTGTGGCTATTCCTCTAGAGCAAGTTGTGCACTTCTTTGGTGAGAGGGGCCTTGGAGATTTCAGCGTGAAAACGCACTGACATTGCAGGTGTCGGTTCTTCTGGTCCACAACAATCTCCCACAACACTGACCCTTTTGTCGGTCGATCCAGTTCCAAGAGAGCTTGGACTGGCAAGCAGTAGAATAGGCAACTACAGTTTCAGATATTTGGGTTGTTGAAATGCCTAACAACCTTTTTTGTGCCTTGGGCTGGCATAGCACAATCAAAGTGGTTCCCAGTCAGCCACACAAAGATGCAAACAGTGCATCACAGTTGTGAAGGTCATGAGGAGCAATCAGTATTCGAGTGTGGCAAGTGGAGCTGATCTTTGTTCTTCGATCACCGTGTTGATTAGTTGACGAATCCACTGATAGACTGTAGGCCATGGGTTGCGTTCCAATGCAGCACTGCAGCACTACATCAGGTGGCCATCGCAGTGACGAAGGCACAAACACTAGGGACAGCAACTCACCAATAAGATGTCATTGTCTATCGATTTTGGGACACCCACGACTGCACAGTGGACGTCGTTCTTTTTGCAGTGCTCGTGTATGGCGTTGGCACCAGCGTTGCCACCATTTCCGCCAACGACAAACAGCATGTTTATGCCCCACATGTCGATCTTCTTGACGATCTCCCTGCAGCATTAGAACACCTCCTCAGCTGCACCTCTGTAGCAGCATAGCAATTGCAAACCTGGCCTTCAGACTATCCAAGGCTGATTCTCAAATCCAAATGTGGTCACTTGACACTTGTTCTTGACAGCAAAAATGCCCAAGCATTCTCATAGGGCACTGCACTGAACTGCTTCATGCGCCACTGAACAGCTCCACAGAATTTATCGCTGTTGCCCATATGAACAACGTGTTTTCAAAGAGGGCCATCAGAACATGCACCAACTCTCAACAACGACCCCAAAATGGTCATCACCCAAACAGCACCAGCTGGCTATTAACAGCACAATTGGTTGCAATGGTATTTCAGCACAGGCATTGTGCATAAATTGCTGCTCTGTACTGGAGCTAAGACGTCAATGACAGGAAAACTGGAGACTTATCAGATTGCCCTACAACGCCTTGCACAAATAAGTGCATTGGTCACTCTTTGACAATAGTGTGTACCTCAATCTTGCGTGATTCCTTCATCTTATCACAATGCGCTTTGCAGCTGGCTCACTGCAAACCAACCACCAGGCAAAATGGCAGATATTTTGTATCAAGCAGTAACACAAACCACTATAACCTAGCTGGTGATGCCCACCGTGAGGTCATTCTATTCTAAAGGATGCCAACATGATCACTATGTCAAAATCACAGCAGCTGTGATGGCAACAATTGGTGTCAATATGGGCATCGCAGCTGGCATTGCCAAAACTGTCTTTACTAGTACTTTGAAGGGCCAAATGTTTGTCAACAGGAAAGGGGCACAATATTGCCTGATGGGTGCAAGGCCACTGTCTTGCTGAATCTGTGTGAAATGTAGTTAAAGTAGAGTACACTCACCGCATATTTGCACCGCCTCGCGATGTTCCCAGGATGGTGCCTCCCTGCAACTGAAGACCATCCACAGACTCCTTTGTGAGCACCATGGGTTTGTGCTCACGATCATAGAAACCCCGAAACCCATATCTGTCAAGAAAATAAAGCTGTCTTAGATTGGTCGAGGCATCAAGACCAAGAAAAGAGCGGTCTCTCTTGGAGTCAGTTGTGTTGCCAACAAGACAGTGCTGCTGTACTCCATGCGGTGTGTATGTAGTCAATGCCCTGTTGTACAGTATATTACACCTTCCACATAGTAACATAACGTTTGGCATTTTCAAGCGGAACCATAACAAAAATGTAACAGTGCCTAGAAAATGGAGCAGCCCCAGCCACAAAGCGAGGTTTCTAGAATGCTTGGGGCATCTAGCGGCCCAGGATGCATGTCTCTGTGGGCATTTAAGGGCCATGCAAACTGAGCAAGTCGCAATTTCGGCTGTGACCATGATACAGAGCCCCAACCATAATGGTCTGTCAGAAAATGCGGAGCAAAAATCGTACCACTGAGATCTCAAAACGCGGAACAGTTGAATATACTATAGTACACTCTATACTGTATTCAATACTCCATGAGAATGCGTCAAACGACAGGTGGGGGTGAGCAAAGAAGGTAACAGGCTGCCAAGGTCTCCCACTGGCCAGAACTGTATCCCTTTCATCCTGAGAATATCCCGTGATGGCTATCTGCTTGGAACCAAGCCAAAAAATATCACTGAATTACTCCCAGATCGTTCAGACCTGATGCCGAGGATATTATCTTCCTTGACACCATAGTCGGTCAGCTTGTTCACCAGCCCAGCAACAACGTCATTCAGGCCAGGGCACAAGCCCCCACAAGTGACGATCGCAGCGGTGACCTTCTCAGGGTTCATGTAGATGCTCTCCCGTGCCCCCGCCCGCACAGCCCAGGAGGGCAGCTGCAGGCACATCTCAGACTGTTCCGAGGTTTCCTCGTCAACGGTCAGGTACTGAATGCCTTGACAACCAGCACCTGTGGCATGCCAGCATCCCCCATGGTATTCAGAAGTGTTAAGTCAGAGGTCCTCTTCAAAAGATCTTTCAATTGCCTTTACACTCTGCATTAATTCTTTGTACTCTCAGCGCTTTGATGCATAGATCCTTCTGTTGGTTAGCATATCACCAGCGCAGACAGCTCTCCACCTCCCTGGTGGATAAATACTGTTCTCATTCAAGAAAAAGGAAGGGACGATGGATGTATTGCTGAAACCACATGTGAAGAACAGAAACCACTGGTCATGTCATGTGTCTCTGCTGAACTCAGGTCATTGAACAGCGTCTAGTTCCTTGTGCCCCCCTGCACTAGGTTCACAACGCTTGACAAGACACCCAACCCCCAAGTCATCAGAGCACAGCAGGGGTTGAAGACATTTGCTATTGCCTGTCGATCTGTATTCTCTGAACAATGTCAGTGTGAACACTGCAAGCAGCAGCAAGCACAGTCCACTGTGCTAAGGGGCAAAAGGTGCTGCCCATGAACAAGTCCGGACCAACGAGTAAGTTGAATCTTTTGATCAAAATTGCCTAAAGCAACAGAGTGCTGCCTTTGCACAGGAGAGGTGGCAGCAGGTGTAAGTCCATGCACTGTTCTGGAGGGAATGCACTGTTCGGTAGGGATACTGTTGCGTTAGGGCACAATGTCTTGAGGGCTCAGCTCAACATCGGAAAGAAGCGTAAGCTATCTCATACCCAGGGAACAACTGCCAGCAACCAATTACTAACCCAGTTTATTCTGCCAACTGCTCCAGCCCTTTCAGTAGTTACTGTGCCCCCCCACCCAAACCAAACTACTGCAGCGGCTGGCGTTCATCACAGGACCTGGCAAGCAGGGTATTCTCACAATCGCCATGGTTAGCGTGGCAGTGACTCACCAGTGGAATCTGGGGATGCGAACTCCATGGATCTAAGGGAGACCCTGTCCTTGTCATTCACTGCAGATCACAGGCGGATATCAGCAAAAAGAGGTGTAAGTCACAGAATGTTCCTTGCACAATGGAGCGCCACGACTACTAATCACTTGCGGCCTCTCCCAGCATGGAGCTATCGGCCTCAAGAAGCAGATCAACAACCAAGAGACATGAGAAAGAATCAATGCATCCATCAGAGCAATCTGTAAACCTACACCCTGGTCGCATGTCTTTGCTGATTTACAATCATTAGACGGCCTGTGAGGACCTCGCAATGCTTTGCAAGAAAGCACCATTGCCCAAGACAGTTGAGTTGCCCATCTTGGCCACCCAAAACCACACAGAGATTCTTGCCAGGTCACGGGGTGCCCAGTTTACGACATGCTGCCTTTCTTTAACAACACAATCACCGCTGCGCACAGCACTCCATCAGTCAACAACAAGACCCTCCTTGTCAACTCCATGGATCGTTTGGTGCTCACCAAATCCGCCTCCAAAGTTCCTGTGCGAAACGAAGGGACTCGGCCTGTGCGCGCACAATGTTCCAATCAGCCCAATCTTCGGGAGTGTCCGCTCAGTGCAATGCATCGCGGCCAGCCTTCACAGGATGTCACCGTTTCCACAAACTCGCGGCACCAACGGACGCGCGCGGAACGCAGAACGGTAAAATGGCCGGCGGGGCCAACGCCTATCCGTGCGCACGCCCCAGCATCAAGGGTTTCGTGCGGCGCCTCTGGCACCCACCCACCTGGACGACAGGTGCTCCCGCAGCGTAGGGCACTCCAACAGATCCGTGCTCAGATCTGCGCCGAACCCGCCAGCCCAAATCCCACCGTCAGCCCCCACAACACCTTCAAACGACCCGTCCCCGCCCGCCCACGAACACCCGACCCCGATCAGCTCCCTCCCCTGCCATCCACCCCCTGCCACGCAGAGACTCACCGACTTCGAACGCGGGCTCATCCTTTGCCGATTTCAGCACCAGCCTCCTCCTCCGCGCGATCCGCGATACCCCAGAGCGGCCTCGCGCCCCTTGCGCCCGCGGGGGCCCAATCGCCGCCGGCGCGGTCAAGGCCCCGGGGCACTTGGCCAGCGGCTCCATCGCATCGAGGGGGCCTCTGGCCTTGCGGTGCGAGCGCCGACGCCGCGGAGGCGCCTCAGGCGGTGAGGTGGCCCACCAGGGGAAGGGACGGGGGGGAGGCGGTTACGGGCATCGAGTCCTGGGAACTCGCAGCACAGGTGGCCCCAGGAAGAGGGCGAAGGATTCCATGTTGCTCCGGAAATGCGCGGGAATTTGGGTATAGTTCGGGAGTACGAGAGTGATAATTGGATGGTAACCAGTAACTGGGCCCCATGCCCCCCCCGACTGGGTGGAAGGGGACCTAAGGGGCTGGGCTACCCTCTTCCTTGCCCCTGGCCGGGTGGTTTGGTAGAGCAGTGGGACATCCCACCCAGAGGTACCCGGTGCGGACCACGGTTAGTTGTCCGCTTTACCATCCGTGCTGAACCACACCCATAGAGAAAGGGGCACCCTTCACGGGTTTGACAAGGGGATTCCTGCCCTCCATGCTGCTGGATTGTGCTTCTGTTAGGCTCCTGGACCATCTGGAAATCGGGATGGAGTTACAGAAACGTTGATGGGCGTTGTTGCATTGCTTGTCAATGTTGCTACAGTCGTTGCGCATCAACGCCCCATCGGAATTTTTGCCATTGACCAATTGATGCTAGTGGGCCATGCCTTCAAACACCCCATCAACCGTCGCGTTCATCAACGTTGCGGCCATTGTTGCCGGTGATATGTTGGTGCATGTGGACTGCAACAACATCGATAAGCAGTGCATCAACAGACTTGTTGCAGCAAAGCCTGTCAACGTTGCCACAACTCCGCCCCGATTTCTGGATGGATATCGAGGCGAGGTAGCCATCAGCTCCCTCTTTCTCCCGAGCAAAGCAACGTCCATGATGCGTTCTACGAGAACCCAAGGTGCTACCACAATCCAACCGAGTTGTCGTGCACCAGAACGCGCAAATCCACAAATTTGGCATCATCAAACCGCCTTACAACCCATTGTTTGCACTGACGAGACATCACATATCCGTAATATTCCGTAGTACAGTAGGGGTCCTATATAGCGGCCCCCAATAGCGCCCCGGCCCCCAATAGCGCCCCCTTTTTTGGCTTGTCACCATTTATGTAGTACTTTGTTGCGCAGTGGGACCTCAAACTAGTACAGGGGTCCGGTTTAGCGACCCCTATTTAGCGACTTGTCTAAGTTTAGTGACCCCCTTTACGGCTCGTCACTGTTTCCATAGTGCTTTGTTTCACTGCCGCAGGCCCCAGCGCCTGCGACTTCGGTGCCGCGACAGTCGCTGGCCCCAAAAGCCGGTAAGAACCCAGTAGGCTGGGTGTAGCGTACCCCCCACACTGGCGGTCAAGGTACCCCGTACACTGGCAGCTAGGGTACCCCCTACGGGCGGCCAGAGTACACCCTATACTGGCAGGCAGGGTATCCCCTACACCGGCGGCTATGATCCCCCTTACACTGGCGGCCATGATACCCCCTACACCGGCAGTTTAGGGTACTCCCTACACTGGCCGCCAGGGTACCCTTTACACCGGTTACCTAGGGTAGCCCCTTGACGCAATAGGGCCCCCGGCCCCCAATAGCGCCCCCCTTTTGGCCATGTCACGGGGGGGGGGGCGGGCTACATGGGGACTCCTGCTGTATTCCGCATCCTCTCCCGCCGTGCCGCACCCAACCTCCCCCATTCCTGTCAGCCCACCCCGCATCACGTCACACTCCTCTGCGGGGCCCCACCCTGCACGCCAACTTCCACACACTCACCCTCACTCTCCCGGCGCCCAAAACCAGTGGGTTTGTGTTAGCGTCACGGCTAGCGCCGCTGCGTGGCCCACCCCAACTTGTCGTACCCCAGGGCCCCAGGACAACCCACCGTCGCCGCTGCTAGCCAAGCTTGGGGGCCAGCCACAGAGTATCGGAGCGGCCAATGGCTCTTCGGCACGAGTCCGCCGCGGCCTGCCTCCCTATGGATGCCATCGATCGCGACTACCGCGCCGGCCTGCGCTCCGCGCTCCTGATCTTTGTCACGCTGACGGCATCTCGCCTGGCATTCAACCTGGCGGTGATTGGCAGGACGGGGCCGGGAGTCGGGGACTCCAGGAGAGCAACGAAGGCAGAGAAGAACTGCGAGGAGACGTGGCTGGGGATTGGGACGCTGTGGCTGATGGGATGGTCGTGGTGGGCGCTGGGGGCATCGCGGGCGGCCTGCGGCGTTCTGGACACGTCCGCGTGTGTTGCGGACTGGCCGGACATCCCGGTGTCCGCCGCCGAGAGGGCGCTTTTCGAGGCTGAGGTTGGGTGGTACATGCACATGCTGACGCGGGGCTGGGTGGGGGTGGGTTTCGCGCAGGATGCCGCAATGGCCGTTCACCACGTGCTGGCGGTGTGCCTGATTGTGGCGGGGTACGGCCTGGGTCTCACGCGCCTGGGGGTGGTGGCGCTGGCCGTGTTCAACCTCAGCAACCCGTTCCTGCATGCCTCCAAGGTGGCCAACAACCTGCAGATGGCGCGGTGCCGGGTGGCGCTCTTCGCGCTGTTCGGCGCGACGTTCTTCGTCTCGCGCGTGGTGCTGCTGCCGGCGGTGATAATGAAGTGCACACTATTGGAGACGCTGCCCGTGCTGGCCAGGGAGCCGCGGATGTGGTGGGCCTACTACGGCGGCAACGCGGTCATAGCGGCGCTGTACTTGATGCAGTTGATGTGGATGGCGAAGATCTTGAGGGTGCTGTGCTCGGGCAAGAGCGGGGCGACGCCCAAGGGGGCGATTGGGGAAAAGGGTCCCTTCCAAGAAACCAAGACGAGGTGAGGGAATGGGGCTGCAGCTCTGGAGGGAACAAATGAGGACAAACAGCTGATGGTCAAATGAGGACAAATAGTTCGCTGGGTGGGTTGGAGCGGGGATGGGGAGTTCAGAATGGTTGTCCGAAGCTCATTGTTGGGCACTGTCGCCTGTGGTGGCACCTTCAAGATGATGTGCTTCAAGGGATGGGATTAACGGGGCTGCTTGCCCGGCACGCGCCTTGTGCCAACAGATTGCAGGGTGGATGTGGGGTGATTCTTTTGTGTTTCGGACGCTGCGGAAATCGCCCTGAACTTGCGGCATCGGGGTTGGTTGCCCGATAGTGGGTGTGTCCTGGTTGGGGAATGCATGCAGGCACTTGGATATGGCTGCTGCATCAGGGCAAGGTAGTGTTGGGATGAAGCATGCCAGGCTTCCCCCTATGAGTGCTTTTGCTGCGCCACTGGAGACCTGCTGGACCAGGCAATGCTCATGCTTCGCTTGAGTCACCTGTTCATCCCCTTTGCTGGCATGCACTGTGCTGTAGGCCTGGGCCAAGGCCAAGACACTTTCTGTTTGGGTGCTGGTGGCAACAAAATTCATCTGCTGTTTTTGATTGATGAGTCCACCACAAGTGGGGAGATATTCCAAGGGGGCAGTGGACTCCATCAAGAGAAAACTTAGAGCCACATGGGGAAGACCAGCAACGCAGGCCCAGAAAAAGTCAAGCTGCTTTAGTTTGCTCAGGATGGCAGTCCGGCCACTGTCGATTTGAGCAAGACTGTTCTTGAAGATGTTCTGAAGATGCATTTCAGTTCAGTCAAGCTTTTTAGAAGAGGTTCAATTTTCGTGGAGGCGGATCGAGTTCTGCTGATGAAAGCCACAGCTGCTTGTGCTTTTCCCCAATGTCCCTTGCCCGAATACAATGGAAAATGCCCTGCTGCTCAGGGCTCAAAGCAATTCTTCTGAGGAATGTCCACTACATCCAGTGCATTGGCAGGGAGGAGTTCTCACACCCCCCTTCCCCTATCACACAACAGAATTCTGTTGACAAAAGCAAACAATGCCCTACAATCTCTCCCCCCCCCCTTCAATTTACCATCTGGGCAAGTGCACCGCTGCTGCACCATCAAGACCATCCCTGTGGCTTCGGAAGCAGCGCCTTGCGTGACAGTTTCACATTGCCCTTGTGGTCGCGACCCAGACACTGCACCTGGAGGCATGCCAGACAGACTGGTCATCAGCGCGGCTTGCTTGCAAGCAACAGAAACACTGAGCAAGAAAAAGCTAACAAGGCAAGAAGGACAATATAAAGCTAAGTAGCCAATACACAGAGCCACCACATGCAAGAATACAAGACATTGCGCTGCATTCTAATTGAAGTTGTATCTCAGCTTCCAGCTAAGAAAACTACTTCTGAAGTACAGATAAGCAAACGACAACAATTCGAGGGCATAGCTTCGTTTTTCATTGATACTACACTATAAGACGTATAAAAGATAGATAGAAGTTCAAAAAGTTTAAAGTAGAAAGCGGAAGAGGACTTTTTACTGCAGAAGTAAAAAGTACAAGAAAAAGGGATGCTTCGCAATCATACTATTCACCATTATTGTTATAGTCAATACAATTGTGAACATAGACACAGATAGCAACAGCGAACTGTTTTTCTGCACCACCTTGAACTCCTGCCCCTCGTGCACCACGTCCTCCACCGCCCGTATCCTCGAGTGCGACAGCTCCGAGATGTGCAGCAGCGCCTGGAAGCCGTTAGGGAGCTCCACAAAGGCGCCGAAGTCCGTCAGGGTGACGACCTTGACGTCGTACACGTCGCCCTCGCGGATGTTGGCACCCTTGGCGGCAACCACAGGCACTCCTGCGCTTAATCGAGCTGGCAATGCATTTGATCCCCATGATCCGACCTACGTGATCCGGTATGTTGACAAATGGAAAAGCTCCAGCGTCCAAAGCCATTCTCTGATTCGATGAACAACTCAGTCAAGCATGTGGATGACTGTTGGTATAGCGCTTCCCCACGTGATGGTTTCCGGGTTTGGCATTGCTGTTCCTCTCATTAGCATGAACAACACTGTAAGTAGCACTTAAAAGCATGTGACACACCCGGACATTGATTTTGAAACCCTTTGGCCAAACGAAACAACTGCAGCAACAAACGCAGCGGACCAAACGTTTTCTGTGCAGATATGACTAATGAGGTAATCTGCAACTGCATCAACAAATGCACCTGGCAGCGGCCAGCACAGAGATCAAACAAGCGGGGTAAAACACCGCCAGAAAGAGTTCAATTACCAAAATTCCACATGTCAATAAAACGCCTGACGAATGTTGATGGTTGTTAATGTTATTACGGCGCGGTTTGGTCCTGACATTACCCGCAGCCGTGCTGCCAACACACGACGCTCACCAAATCTACCGACGTACATGCGTGGGTTTGAAGCAAGTAAAGCAGGCAAACTCACAGGATCACAAATGGAAAATGGGCAAAACAGAAAAGAACAACAACACACAAAGTACCACCTCTGCTCCGAAAGTCCGTTATCCAGATCATGCAAATAGAGGTCAAAACGTGCAAGTCAAAAAATTCGACCAAAACAACTTCAATGAGCCATGTTGATGGCTATCTATGGAGCCCTTAAGCGTGGAAAACGGTGATGCCGTTCTTGAGATAAGAGGAGCACAGGCGCCACTTTTGCTTTCATCAGGACCTAGAGCGGGGTATGAGGAGCTAGTCTTGCCCTTTGAAGGAGGTAGATCGAGCTGAGTCGTCTCCAGTTCCAAATATTCAAATATGAACCGCCTGGTGGTTTGGTATGCAATGAACATTTGGCAAAATTTAAAGCTGAATCCACAGAGCAAAAAATGCAGGTTTGCCACAGATTTTTGGATGTCAACAGGAATCGTGGTTGCGTTGTGGCTGAAGGCCAAAAGACACCTAGATTAGTGCAATAGTATTGACCTAACTGGTGCAACAAGGTTGGGAAGGCCGTGCATACTGACGCCGACCCGACAACGGCCTAGGTTGGTGGCAACATTGCGAATCGTTGAGATTGACAATTTCAAGGCATGAGTCAACATAGCGGAAGAGATGGTCCACAGAGAGTGTGATTGCGATGATGCCAAATTCTGGAAGGTTTGTAGCATTGTCCATTTAGAGCATCTTTATCGTTCGGTGCTATTGCACCGGGGGAGTTGTCCAGGAACGGTTCTCATTGGCTGCCGCGCCACCTTACTAAGGCGGCATTTGCTGAATAGCGCCGGTGCTACTGCTCCCCTGCGCCCATCCGCAATGGTGGGTGCTATGCCTACGCCGAATAGCATGAGGGCAACACTACAATGTTCTGCGCAAATAGCACCGGTGCTATTCTGGGGTGCTATTCAGCCCCGAGCGGTGCTATTCGGGGCCAAAATAGCGCCGTTCGGCGCCGAATAGCTCCGGGGGTGCTATTGGGGTGCTATTGCTCCCCAACCGTTAATGATGGTTTTTTGACGCACGGTGCTATTCAGATAGCCGAATAGCTCCGCCGGGACAATAGCACCCACCGATAAAGATGCTCTTATTGCCCACAACGAAGCTTTTGAAAATTTTCGGGGAACTATGCTGACACGCATGGGGCTAAGGTGAGCACAAAACAATGGGACTTGAGGCCCTGACGAGGATGTATAGGGACGCTTTCGATAAGGCTGCGCAGGTCTTGCTGTATGAGGATGACTAACGTAACCAAGATCCACGTTACCTCAAAATCGACCAAGGAATCCGAATCTGGTGACAGATTTACTAATTAAGTTGATCTTGCAAAGTTATGGCAAGATTGGACAACGGACAAGACTTGTGGAACGGAGGGAGTAGATTAGAACACAAGACATTAAAAATGCGGCGGGAAGCCATCAACCATTGCACTGGATGCGCGCACCATTTCCTGCAAGTTTCCAATTTTCGGATTCCAACTTCCTTGTGGATACACTGCGCACAACAAAAAGCGCTATCAAGCACCAAGCCCCACATCCATTCTGCCCACAAAGGTGCTTGTCCCACACGCGGTTGACTCGTATCAAACAACTGAGTTGTACAGCGGGCATTAACTACCTGCACGTCCAGGATGGCCGTCTCGGCGCGATCGTACTGTTGCTCCGTGGGCGCGTAGATTGCCATCTCCTTGGCCTCGGACCTGAGGATGAGGCGGGCGCCCGTCGCCGCCTGCATGCCTTGGATTGTCCGCCCCCTGGGGCCGATCAGAATGCCCTGCGGAAACTGGGGGGATCAGTCTCAAGCACCAACAAGAAGTAGGGCTTCAAATTTTCAAGTTGGGAAGTATTGGCACTAGGCAATTACCCAAAGTACATGCTTGTGCCATTTTTCTTGAAAGGGTGACGGCCATTAGCTAATGCCCGACTCGGCCATTTCGCACAGGCAGTGTCTGCGTCCAAATAGCATCAGCATTGCCAATGTCCTGCGCAAGTGAAAATGATTGGCACTGGTGTGGATCGTTGTTCAGAGGGGCAGCATCCCAGAATCATATCTATGATGCGGTGTAAGGAATGTGAAGTGTGAATCAGTATTGTGCCTGTGCATTGTGCATTGACTTGCCAAATTCTAATTTCTGGAATTTCTGGAATTTCTAGAAATCTGGATACTTTGGGTCGACTCTTCAACGCAGGATTTGATCCAGCACACATCTCAAAGTTTGAGCTGCGTAGGCAGCTTTGCCCATTGGGGATGCACAAATGGCATTTCAACCCCAAGGACGCCAGTACAGGCGAAGTACAGATAGTACAGGCAGTACAGTCGAAGCAACATACTGCCCATCTTGCATAGATTCTTTCCCTATTTGAATAACAGCATTGCTGCAAATCGCGTTTCAGTGATGTGAGCCGTGCTTCATCAGGGCCAAAGTTGTCGCCCTACCTCCAAACCTAGGTACCACAGTACTTCCAAAAGCTACAAGTATGCTAGCCATTCTTGCCATCTGACAGGCTGTCAATCACAGCTTCCTTTATGACAGCATTTTTCCCGATGCTGGTCATCATCTCTGCCATCTTTGCATTGATCGAATCAAAGCACAATAAAGCACCGCTTTGCACCATCGAGAACTCGCATTCTCTATACACGGCAGCGAGCGCAATCGAAGGTCCACATCTGCACAAACACTTTCCCATTCGCCAATCACATGAACTTCATAATATCACGCCTGCCGGAACTATCTCAATGCTTCCCATGACGAAACGGCTCTGACGGCTCTCGATCCACAACAAACAACACTCTTTCAGGAACGGCGGCATCAGCAAGTACTGCAAAGTACTGGAGCCCAATGACGCTTATTCGGGAAAAGGGTTTAAACGCATCAGCACCCCAAACGGGCCATGAGACGCTCACCGCAAGGTCCTTGTCCACTTCCACCGTCCCAAACTTCGGCTTCCTCTGCCGGCGGCCCCTCTGCAGGCAGCCGCCCATGGCCTCCAAGATCTGTCGGCGCGCCTTCAGGGAGGGCTGAAGCGCCTCGGTGACGATGCCCACGGGCACCCCTGGGAACTTGGTGTCAAGCTGAGTGGCCGTGATGCCTGCCGCCGTGCCCGCGATCTTGAAGTCCATGCAGCCCAAGTGGTCCTCAAGGCCCTGGATGTCTGCAGATCGACAAGCGACTCATTTCAACGGTCTCGCCGCTGGCCATAACACAGCATCAAAAACGCGGATAAGATTGCGCGGTTTGGTCCATCCCCAAAGCGGTTGACACCACTTTTGCATGGTTGCTTTTCTGGGTAAGCAAAATGCACGTATAAACACATGAACTTTCACGACTATTATCACACATATATTGTGTCGTTGGCTTCTAACATACATCATTAGTCTAAGCATTTCATTAGTCTAACATGGTTTTGACCACTGGACGGAATTTGGCGGAGCGGCCAACATTAGCAGTGGACAAAAAATGCCGGGCTTGTGTGAGCCTGCCTTGCCTGGCCAACGCACTGCACAGGGCGCCACCACACAACGAATCCCAGACATGTACGTAACGCCACATGAGCAAGACCTTGCCAGTTCGCTTTTCGCCACCCTTCGCCAAGTAAAGAGCTGATCAAATATCTCTCACATTTTCTCCACCAAAGGTGGAGCACCGTTTTCTGCATTCCCACAAATAGAGTTCACATGCCGTGGTTTGGTGCAAACGTGGCACCTGGCGATACATTAACTTCGGCACATTGACTCGGTTTGAACCAGGGCTGACATAGCATGACATTGATAATAATAGGAACGGACAACTCTACAGGAAATCTGTGCAGCAACGATTGGACCATTTCAATCTGGCTTCGCCTTGGCTATCCTCTTCCAACACCGACAGCTTCCAGGTCAACGCAGTAATGGAACACGTGAACAGAAGTGTGGCAAAGGTTTCACGGTATCCTCCTGCTCCAACATTGTGCACAACGCCAATGTACTAGCTCCCACAATCTAATTATGATCAAATACAGACAGGCATCATTCACAAATGACTCGTATACAGCAAGAAAAAAGGCAGAAAAAGCTGTGCAATATGGGCGCCAGTGTTCCCTTCCTGTGTATGTGTGTAAAAATGGAGGTTGTGCCTGCCATGCCGCAACTCTCTGGCGCTTCAGATGGCACCAGCCAATGTACCAATTTTGAGAGGCCTCATTCATTCTTGGGCCTTCTCTGGGCGCAGTGCTTTGGTGCTGGGATCAATGCTCTGCAGTCGTGGCTCACCTGTAAGCAGAACATGCCGGCCTACACGGCCTGGAGATTCACGCGACTCGCTGTGGAAAGCACCCCCAGACTCCTGCTGTGCGTAGTCGATTTGTGCATCGGTGATCAAGCCAATGCTGACACCAGCAACGAGAGACTTAATAGGCACCCCGGCATTCTTGAGGGCTAGAGAACCCGCACACACAGCTGCCTGCCAGACAGCACACACCACAAAGAACATTGTTCAGGATGCCATGCGGTCAATCGACCAATTAGCCTGTCGACAAGTCAGCTGAACATGCAAACAATCAAGACTGCACTGCTGTGCAGCATCAACAAGGCAACAGCACAGTGGAAAACTGTGTGGAAGGTGAGGCCAAAATCATGAGCGCCAGGGCAGTTGACAGGAAGAAGGAAACGGACAACATTCTGTTCAATCGTGATAATGCTGCACTAGACAGAAAACACATCACTTCCTTTGTTATTTTGCCAATAGGCAAGGTGACGACATTGCCAACGTCAAGGTCATATCAGACAAGGGTTGGTGTGACAGGGCGGGCTTGTGCACGGCGAGGAGATAAAGGGTGGGGTGGGGTGAGGGGGGGAGAGAGTGGTCACATCTGCTTGCCCTTGTGTGGTCAAATTTCTGAGTCAGCTGTAGCAGGTGAAGCAACTTGCAGTTATTTCCACCTGTGGTTGATATCACAAGATGCACTGCTAGTGACAGCCGTAACCTCAGGCGCGCTGCCTGAACAACCAAAGTTGATGAGAGAATGTTAGATTCACACAGCAAGGGCTGCAAAGGGACAAGCGACAGTGTGCTCCACTCGTTCATCCCAAATACTGAGCGTTGCATGAACAACTTCCTATTCTGAGGTTCCCTTTAAACATGCACACATACCGTAGTGTATTCCACTCTTCCGCGTTTTGAAATTTCAGCGTTACCATATTTGCTTCTTATCTTTTCGACAGACCGTCATTGGGATACTCCGCATCGTGATCACAGCCGGAAGGCCGACTTCGGTCAGTTCACAGGGCCTCAGACGACCAAACGGCTTTCAGCCACGAAAACTCATGCGTCGAGGCCGCTAGACCCACAAGCACTCCAGAGACCCTTGCGCCGCAGCTGGGGCAGCTCCGCATTCCCTTGGCACAGTTCTGACTTTTCTATTGCTCCGCATAGAAGGGCCAAACGTTACGTTACAATGCGCAAGGGTATCAGATGCTGCGGTATGCGAATTCAAGATGAATAGTAGACGTTATGTGACGAAACGTGTATTGAATACTGACTTGAAATATCCACTGTCTACATTTTTGCTGTTCTTCTTCGTCCGCCAATAGCATGACCACGAACGACAAGACTTGGTGAAGTCAAGCATAACGATTGGCCATTTTTCTTGGCGAGCAATGTGCACCCATTGCTGAATGCCAGCTACTGATTGGCATAAAACTAGGGATCTCCGAGGCTGAGAACAGCCAAATCGATTGGTTGAGTGCTGGTGGATGTTCCAATTCTGTCAGTGTTGCTTCATGCCGCCTGGTGGGAGTCGGCCATGAAATTCCTGAGAACAAACACAGGAACAATGCAGCAATGCCCATCATCTGGAAGGGCAACGCCATCTTAAGGCCAAGAACAATGTTTCGTCCAGTGCCGACAAAAGCAGTGTAAGTCAACTTAAATTTTCCATAAGACTCCCGCTTACCTCGATGCCACGGCATGGACTCAGTCCATCTGTCCTTTGCAGCCATTCTCATCATAGCGCTGATCAAACTCATTTTCATCAAATATACTTGTAATACTGCATATTTAGAATCTTGTTTGGGGAGCGTCCTCCCAGTTTTGTTTTGGTTGGAGTGGGGACAATCAACCGGAACCAAAACTTCGATGGCATTATGCGCTCATCAGTGCCAGCTTAGTGTGAAGGTTTCGATTTTTCACACGTGACAAATCTGACTAAGCTTCAATTACCATGGATGATGATCCGTTCGAGCTGAGCGTCTCCGCGGTGAGCCGAACAGGAAATGGGAATTGGTCGATGTCGGGCATTACAGGCCTCAAGGCACGCTCTGGAAAACACAGAACAGCAAACCGGACACGTCAATGGCGATCAGTGTTTGCGCCTTCTTAGTTTCTTGAAGGTTTTTTGTTGGCGAAGTGCCACGCGCAAGAATGGACATCTGATAGCACATCTATCGTATAATTGTACTGCATAAGTAGTTTTCGTTACCATTTCAACTACCGTCACGTGGAGCACCACAGGACAGCATAACATACAATTATTGTGGCATCTAATGTGGTGCACAAAAATAAACGCATTCAGGGAAGGTGAATACAAGAGTGAGCCCACGGCTGTGCGTTGCCACGACCGCTCTCCTTGGAGGCAGCATACACTGTACTGCGTGCAGCACAGCGCAGTAATGCGCAGTATTGTGCAGCACAGTGCAGTGTTGTGCAGTACTGTGCAGTGCGAGACATGCTGTCCAATTGCACCTGCCAGCCTCCCATGTCCTAGCTCCCTCCGCGAGAGGCCCCCAGCTTTCCTAGTCTCGTTCACGGCAAAGGACGGGAAGGTGTAGTGCACGAACAGCGACCTCGTGGCCATTCCCATTACGTCATCTTCCACCTGCGTGTCCCCCTCGCCGCCCACCTGCCTCGCCAGGACCTTTCAATCACTAAGACAACCACAATGTCCAATAGGGCTAGGACCTTACAGACGAGAATGTTATTTATATCTGCACTTAATGCGAATACCTCAAGAAAAATAGACGCATCTATGTCTTTGTGTATTTAGTATGGATGTGAGAATTAAGCAAGATTAACGCAACATGCACAATGTACAACGGAAGTCGTGCGTAGTGATACTGCAGATTCGCTTTGAGGACAAAGCAGGGTGCTCTGGACAAAGGACTCAACTGAGCACTGAGCAAAGCAAGGCAGCAGCAATGCATAGTAGTCAACGCACACTGTAAACCAGAACATTATGCCGGACAATTCCATGTGTGAAATAATGTTCAACGCAATTCCAGTTCTAACACACAGCTCTGTCACAAGGACTTGAATTAGCAGCACATTTGTGCAAAAAGGCGCGAGGGTGATTCGTGCCATCTAAGTGGCCACGGCGCTCACTCGCCAAACCGTGGCCTTCGAACACCGCACCAACCATTACGACCGTGTCAAGTATTGCACGTCATTACTGATAGCAATTTTGCCATGTGAACGCGGACCGATTCTTGTGCATCAAGTACTACCATTTACACGCAATTACATTGACTACAGCATGTGCATGTCAAGGTTGTGTGAACAATGCCATGCGAGAATGGGGCACTTTTGCACCAGGTGGTCATGGGCAGGGGCGACGATCCGTTCGATTGTCACATTGCCAACGAATCACAAACGCCGCCCTTTGCCTGCAAGGCGTTGGTGGCCACAATGTCCGCAGCAGCACCTGGCCGAGACTGCCTCTTCCCCATAAATGTCCGGTACCCCTAAGCTTCCGGACGTGAAGGTCACGAAGATCATTTTCGGCTTTCTCAGTAGTTTATGTTTTGACATACGTTCAAAGTTTTCAAGCTTCTTGTTAGGGGGGTTTGAGGTTTCAGGGTCTTAGAGCGCCAGTACAGCTTGTGAACTTAAAGTTTATGAAGCTTCATGACCCCTTCATGTCCTTGCTTTTGGAAGTGATAGGACCCATCATTTCCGGCCTTTACCATTACAGCCTTGAAGGAAAATGTGGCCAAAAATGTGGACAATAACGTATTAAGCCATGTACCATTTTTCTCAATATACCGTTAGGTGTCTGATAACACGCTTTTCAGATCACTGCGGCAACGGCACGTGGCTCACCGTGGCGGTGCAGAGCGACTGCGTTTCACCCCTTCCGAACAGGGCGGACCCGTGGACGACGGGGAGGAGATCGACCTGAGCTGGCGGACAGCGAGCAGAAAGCACCATCAGACAACATCATGTTTGCGATCCAGCTGTGGTGCCCCTTTGACGCAAAGTGGCGCCACAACAGTGACTGCGGCAGCATAAAAGCAGGTGCGATGGCATCAATTAACGTCAAATGGCGCCGCAGCTGGCATCGCAGAAGCGCTGTTATCTACTGGTGAAGGGCACACAGCAATCAGATCGCTTGCCGTCAGCTCTGCAGCCTCGACGCCCTGTTGGGCAAAGTAGGCGCAAGGGCGAAGCCTCACCTTCCAAAGGAGTCCCGTACCTTCCCAAGCAAATCCCCGAAAATGCCCAATATTTAAATCCCCGAAAATGCCCAAAATCATCCAACGGAAAAGATCCCAAAACACCGAGAGGGTTTGCCCATCACATGGCCCATTTCCTTTCTGTCACAATGGGATAGTACCTCACTGCGGAGCATTGCACCAAAGGACCCGCCTGAGACGACACTGCCTGGCCCCGTTTAGACACGGTTTCAGCCTTTGGCACATGATTTAAGCAATCAACCTGCCAACAATTTAGGGAATAACAGCCACCAATTAATTGCTGAATTCATCAACCACGCATCCAATAAACTAATTAACAATTAGCTAAATTGGTGAACTCTGTTCAGGCAGGCAACTGTGCGAAAAGGCTGCAGTGTCCCTGTGGCTGCAATCCACAACAGGCCAGCTTTCGGAAGGCAGGAGCTCACCTGGCCCCAGGCTTGGTTTTTACGTCTACGTTTACGTTTTTGCGGGTCCTTACGACACCTAGGTTACACGGTGAAGGTTACGTACAATGATCAGTGCTCCGCAATCTACAGCACCCGCAGCACAATATCTACATCGCCGTTGGCAGGGCGATGATGGGTTCAACAAAAACTCGTTTTCTGCCGCTTCCAGGGCGTCTGGCTGCCATTCTCCGGACTCCGCAAGTCTGCGTGTACCGTCCTTATGTACACCAGGCAGTTTTTACGTTGTATTAACGTATTTTTACGCATAAAAATGTAAAAACTGTTTTTATGCGTAAAAGCGTAAATACGATCAGTTTTTACGGCGTAAAAAACAAGCCTGCCTGGCCCAAGCACTGGCGCACATCGGCGAAACATGCTGCGCCATTGATGGACACCAATGGCCACCAATGACACTAATTTTTCGAGACACAACACATGCATGACATGCTAATCGTATGCATACGCTAAGACTGCACGCTTTGCTCCCGGTCTAATTCGCCACTATCACGCGTCTGCCATACGCGATTTGGAACAATCCAACAGACAAAGTGTACTGTAGCATGTTCAATCCTTCCGCATCAAAAAATTCTGCCGTTACGCTTTTGCTCCACATTTTCTCTTCAGAGCGTTCCTTTTTTATGTTGCTTCGCAAATGTTAGACTAATTTTTCTCCGCAAAAAAGGCCAAGCGTCATGTTACCATACATAAGGGTTAAATATGGCATGCAGTTGCTGCCGGCCAGAAAACCATGAAGTATCGACACCTCAACTGTTCCGTGGGTTTGCTTTTGAGCTTTTCAATAAGAACACATCACGAGTCTGCAGTGCCTCTAGCAGCGGGCAACCGCTTGCCGGCTGCTGGTCCTCTACCTCAGTCTCGAGGGGCCTGATGTCATGGATGCCGCGTCCATCAATGCGCAGGCCCTCCGTAAGTGCCATCCCCCGCAGCGCTCTGGCCTCGGCTGCAGCAAAGGCGATGTCCAGGTCGGCTTGCGACACGCATCCAGAGCCTGGCTGGGAAGCCACAGAGCAACAGAAGCAGCATGTCGGTTGAGTTCATTCAGTAATTGCCGTACTGGGGTGGCCCATGCCCGGCACCGCATTCTGGTTTGGCCTTGTGCATTTGCCAGAGCCGCACTGCAGATACTGCAGAATTGACACTGCATGGTACACCGCAATGTATTCATTGCATGCCAAAATGCTCACATCTACTTGGATGCTGCATTTCTATCAAAGCATTCCTGACCCTGAAGCACACAACGCTTACTTATGAATATGCGATGAAAGGGAGAAGACTATTTTCCGAAGCTGCATTCTCTTCTGAAGTTCGGTTCCTGCATCAGGGTGCACCAACCACTGAAGAAAATACGAATTCAGCAACAATTGGGTGGCACCGGGGCTTTTCTGGCCTACCACCCTGTCGTTGTCTCGTCTCATGGCCCCTTGCTCCTGGAGCTGCTGTAGGACCGCCCTCTTGGCCTCTCTGCGTGCAGACGAGCGCTCTGCCTTTCGCATGCCAGGCCTCCGGAACATGTCTTCAATCAGGGGAGCCGCCAGGCTCTGAATGTACACAAAAGCACCCACCACAGTGGGATGAGCATTGTATGGTGCGAGGGCTGCTTCATATACAGCCCTTGCACAGGACGAACTGAAGCACTGTGAAGGATGGACGACAAAACAGGAGGTTGACAAAACAAGGCAATTATTCTAACAATAAAGCAGTGAAATCTGTCGATCTCGAAACAAAATCAATCCCCCACACACCCAAAGTGCATTGAAGAAAACCACGCAACAGGAAAGCGAAATGAACTGAAAATGGGACGGAATGAACTTGAACAGACTGTAGGAAAACACAAAAGAACAAAGGCACACTGTGTTGCCTGGCGCATGAAGCCAGACTTGGGAATTCTGATGTGCAAACACACCAGAGCAAAACAGGACAGGTGGCAAAGGTGTTTCCCTCAGCAGTTGAGCAACAGCAATATGAGCACCGCGGGCCATCAAAAGCCAACGTTCACCAGTCGGGTGCGTTGAGACCTTGTTCTATGGGTGCCTTCAGTTACTACAAATATCAACATCTCTACAAGTTAGAAATCTTGGATAATCAAGGCACCCAAACAGCGAACCAACATTTGTTTCTGATGCTGTGTAAAGGGCATCTCGTGATCTGTGTTTCGATACATGATTTTCAGGATAAGGATTTTGGTTACACAGCTACTGTGTCAACGAATCGACTGGCAGGCTTGAGCAAAACATTTACAATGGCCTAGCTGGATACCAATGCTCACCGCAACCCTTTCAGCAGCCTCAGCGTCAGCAGCAGTGAGGAAGATCTTGCGCTTTGTCTCGGCATTGGGGGACACTAGCCTGCTCTGCAGCTCCAGCAGTTTCTGGACTTCTTGATGGGCGAGTCTCAGCATGTCGGCCAGCACATCTTCTGGAACCTGCAGGTCAGTCTTCCCATTCACATTCACTTTCCTACTTGTGCTAAAGTCGGGCTTTGCTTAGGGTGGGAAGTTGTTATAGCAAATATGGTTGGACATGTCTTTAACATCGCCCTGGAATTGCATGGGCAGAGCTTTGTCACTTTTCAAGCATTGCCACCAGAATGCTTGCACTTTTTAAGCTTCTGGCAAAGTGATTGAGCTCATGCAAGATTTCAGCCGTCATCCCCGAAGGGATGCTTCAATACTTTGTTGCTGCCCCACCAAACGCCAGGCGAATGTGATATGGCACAGAGGGATCGACATCTCGGTTGTAATCATCGCCCAGCAATGTCTGGCAGGCGCTGGGCAGACAATATTTCACCAACATCTTGGCAATCGCACTTCATGACGGGGTATTCCAGTGCTAAACATTTGGACCCCACAAAGAACTCATCTGCAAAATTGGTACATTTGGAACAGCACGTTGAAAATGGCAGGTTTGGCATTTGTGGCTTGGGCGCTGCCATCTTCATGAATGCACTTGCCACAAGATGGCACAGAACTGCCCTTGCTTCTCTTATGAGGTACCATACCTACTAAAGAACAGGTGATGACAGGCATGAGTATACACACACATGGCCTGTTCAAGAATGTTGGTTCCTGCCCAAGGGTAGGAACAAACAAGGCCCGGCTCAAGGCCTGGAGCCAGCACTACCACACGACACAGGATGACAATCCAGCTGAGTGCACATTGCATTCCCAATGTGCTCACAGCCGGCAATGTGCAAAAAATGCAAGCAGCTTGCATGAACAAAGTTCTTCTTCATTTCTTTCTTAGCATGCGTTCGCCTTGTGGGATGTCTTTTGAGCTACTTTCCCACACAAACTGCAACCCAGTATTGATATGAAGACTGCAGACAGCATCATGATGCCAATGCACTTGGATATCCATGAACCTGTTCAACAATCAACTATCAACAGAAGCACCACTTTGTGGGCTTCGAACCACTTTGCATTCTCTCTTGAAGCGGAGCACAAGGCCCACATCTCTCAGGTTGTGACAGGGCCAAACCCCTGCATCCTAAATATCAGTGTGCAAAGCTGTTATGCAAATATTCTAGATTGGAGAAAGAACACATAGACACAGAGCACACACAAGCCCTGTAACTCTATAGAGTGGGGTCACCTCAGATGCATCACACTCCATCATGACTGTCCTGTCTTGTGTGCCTGCGTACACAAGCTCCATCTGGGCCTCCTTGAGCTCACTGGCAGTGGGGTTGACGACGGGCTGGCCGCCTGTGTATGCTATTCGGACCGCCCTTTACACAGCACGCCGGCACACAAGTTCAGGGGTTTGGGTCAATGTGCGTGCACTTTGCACTTGAAGAGCATAGTTTCCTTCATCCCAGACTATATGCCAGTTGTGTATGCTGTCTCTGAATATCAGCTAAAGCACCTTCAATACACCCCAACATTTGCCCATGTATTTTTATAATAAAGAGTGCACAATTCTGCGCCACCAAGTCTTTCTGAACTTACACTGAAGCAGAAGTGGCATCTAAAGCCTCTCTCCATCAAACAAAACAAGCAAGGTATAAAATACTTGTATCAAATATTGTGATTGACAATGTCTACTGAGAAGTAGACAAAGACTGTGCATCAAGTTTGGGCTTCTGCAGTTCTGCTCAGTCAATGTCAAGACAGTGCTTTGGCATTGGCATGCACTTGGGATGGTGGAGTGTGTGGGTACTGTTGTTTCCCAGGGTGAGAAGCAGAAGGAAGTTGGAGCTATTGCTTCAAAAGGAGGTGACTTACTTCACAATGCATGGACGTTCCTTGGGCCAGCGACGAGAGTAATAGCCTCAGTAATCGCATAAGTCAATTAAAACGAGGAAGTATTAAACAACTACACATGCAGGGAAATAAAAGTACCTCCTACAATGCCCAAGTAAAGGCGAGCAACTCGTACATGCCACCATGTGGTGCAAAATCGTACATAGAATGGTGCGCCCAGGCAGATGTGCTTTGTTGCTGTTATGCAGTACACTGCAGGCAGCTCACATCACCAACTCATCATAGCAGTGCCACACTCTGAGCACTGGTATCTGAACAATAGACTGTCGCCATATTTGCATGGCCAGGAGCATGTTCAGTTGTTGCTACACCTTGCAGTGCACTGCTTTCAAGTGCTATTGTATTTTGGGGGAGGAACAATAAACAAGGTACAGACGCACCCCACAGGCCCATTCCATGGAATGCTTGAGCATGTGAGCGCCGCCGAAGCCGTGTTGATGGATAACATGTCTGTGTCATTTTCACCGTCAATGGAGAGTGCCAATGTCGTCACCTAAGCATACAATCGTACAAAATGAGCTCCTCAAGGAGCTGGCAAAGGGCAGAACTGCCACCTGGCGATAGGGACCTGTGGCGAATAGAGCATCGGAGCACACTCACTTGACACATTTGTCAACACATGTGATACAAAACCGTCCCTGGCTAGCATGTCATAGTGAGTTCAATTTCATCCAGTCGACTGATGACTATTGTTGGTTCAGAAGATTATCATTTCAGAAGCGGACATGTCACAAAACAGGCACTCCTCTTCTGAGCAATAACTACAAGCAGGAATTCTTTCTACTGTGTGAACGATGGTGCAAATGTTTCTGAGTTTGGTGTTGCTGCTTGCATGCATATGGAACAAAACAGTAGACTCAGTGACAGATCTTCGACAATAAAATGCCATTTGGTGGGATAGAAGAACATTGCAAGAAAACCAAACTGTGGGAGGTTGGCGAAGAGTGACCCAAAGAGTGCAGCCACAAAACTTTTAACACTACAAGAAGAGTCCGAACAGGAAAGTACAAAATCGCATTCAACACAGAATGCCCAAAATCTGCTCACATTGCATTTGTCAACAATATACAAAGCACTGTCCTTGCACCTTTCAACCAAAAGCACACTCTGCTCATAGCCACAAGCTGTTGCTGTTGCCAATTAAAAACTGAGAGTTGCAGCATTGTAAAACCTCATACTTCAGTCCCATGCAGACACTCTTATCACAAACTCACACACCATGTCCTTGGCCAACTTTAGCCTGCCTCCATTCCTGAGAGGCAACAAAGGCATCAACCTGGTAACAAACACTGCATCGGTTTCTTGCGAGGTGACAGCAGCACCACAGCTCTTCTGTTAGGCTGGGCGCAGCACCTATAATCTTGAATGTGATCAAATGTTCTGAAAGGGCAGCCACACAATGAAACAGCAACTGCACTGTCCCCAATCCCTTTTGCACATCTCGCCCACTCAATACGTCATCACCGCACCTGAATTTCGTGACAGAAGCCAGGGGGAAACAATGGACGAATGGCACGGTCCAGCAACCTCATGCACAGGACCTCCCTATCTTTGGGGTTTCCTTCACGACGGGTGAAGTTGCGAGGAATCTCCCCAACTGCGGACAGCTTCTCCCTGTAGTGCACCTGGGAAGACTCTAGACACACTTCAAAAATGTGCATGCACAAACGAACCTCCTTTGGTTGGGGGATGGTGTGCTCTAGGTGAGTGTTTATGTATTAAAACTAAATAGGTTTAGATAACATATAATGGTTGATGGAGATGCCAATGCAGCCCAATGCGGCAAGTCAAACTGACAGCATCACGTTAAGCCAATCATGCTGTTGCCAGCGCCCCAGGCCAGAACACAATGATAACAAAGAATCCAACAGAGCACATTGAATTTGACAATGTTCAGATTGTTTCCTTCCAGGATGTGACACAACAGTTAAGAGTCCATCAAGAGCTGTTTCGGTTGTTGCCATCCAATTTACATGGAATTTCAATGGCAAGGTTTTCCATTCCAAACACTGCACTTTACACATGCTGTCAAATATGGAATATTGCAGAGCCTGTAATACAGACAGCAAGTTGTGCTATGTTTCCAACCCATGGTCGTAACTCTCCAATATATCCACACCCAGGAACTCCATTCCCTATATGGGGCCACCGTGGTTCACAGGAAGGAATAGAAAAGAGGATGGTAATGAAAGACTCGGGACAAGGTGGAAACAAAGTTGTGTCAGACAGCAACACAACAGTAGTATCGATTCACAGGAAGGACAACAGAAGTAGCAGGCCAAAGAAGGGAGCAACTCACAGTCTTCGGTAGGTACTACATCGGATTTGAAGAATGGATGATGCGTGAGCACATGCTCACAAGAGGAGCAAAACAAGTACAATGGTCATGGCATGTGCCTTACTACAATCAAGAAGTGTTAGTTTACCAGCACCCTACAAGGACTTCACAATGCTTGTCAAATAAAACCTCAACCACTACACATCCCAGTTGACATGTCTATGAGCTCAAGCCCTCAATCGCCAGTGCCACATCACCAATCATCATGTGCCAGTAGCAGGCACTCTGGGTATGTGTTGCCCGCAATCGCCTTCAAGATGCAAAGGCACTGCTCTGCTGCTTTCTGCCAAAATCAGTCCTAACATCAGTGCAAGGCATGCTCGTAGGTGTTTACTGATTCACCTGCAATGGGACCATGTCAGACGGGGCCTGCTGAGGGCTTCTCTCACAGACAACTGTAGACAACACGCATGTGTCTCCCATCCTGCCCATGCAGCTTCCATCCGCTAGCCGGGCAAGTTTACCGGTCTCCAATTCCACTTTCCAGGCTCCCACAAGGACTTCCTCTGACCGCAGAATGCCTGTTGCCATAGAGCCATGCGTGAGTGGCGGGCCCACAGTGCAACAATTCCTAATCGAATCTGAAATTGCAAATCACTCTTGACCAGGAACGACTACCAATGGATGAATGGCATTGAATAGTACACTGTTGTGAACAATGTACAAGCTGTTGTGCACAATGGACAAAGTTCGCATTGTTCACAGCTATTGTGCACAATGTACCATGTGTTGCTGTTGTGTACAATGCACACTGTTCAAGATGAAAACGAAATAGTTGCGTGTGAACTCCAAAAGAGCCTGGCAAACAAAGCCCTCTCAACTAGCTTGTGAGGATGGGTGTACAAATGCCCAAGCAGTGTTCGTTCGAATTCCACAGATCACTCTTCCTCACACCATACCCATAGTGTATGGGGACATGACCACATACCCTACCTATCTCATCTGCACTCCAATATCATAACACCATTTTACTACACCGCCACATCCAAAGAACATCATCCATCGGCCCAACAAGGGGCCTCTCCTGTACAGTGCTACTGGACCAGTACCCTTTCAGGACAATTCAGTACAAGCAAGTACTGTAAAGTACTGAACCTTATACCACTTTTCATAAAAAAACAGAGTTGGGCAATACTGATGGGACCAATCGACAAGCACAACTCAGCCTGCCATGACCTGCAACACATTTCTATGGCTTGCTACAGCTTTCTGCTGAATTACCCAAAACAGACACTCTGCTCCAAAGGCCCTGACTGTTGTGTGGTGCTTGGCTGTAACATCTCATCCATTCCAACACAGTGGGGTACGAACCAAGCATGCAATGCTAGTTTGTGGAAAGATCCACAAAGATTTCCAGCCCGATGCAATCAGCACCTTCATTGCTCATTCCTTTTTAAAAAGAGACACCACAGGTGGCTGGGAACATGACAAAAATTTTGGCACAATGCGCAGACAGGTAGCATGCTGCTGCCAAATGTTGTCCCCATGTTCTCAAAAGAAGAGCAAGACACATTCGGATCCTTCCAGAACTGCTACATTATCAGGGCAAGGTGTTTTCTGGGCATATTTCATGGGTGTTGCACAGGTGCATCGTTCACTAGCACCCATTCGCAAGTGGCTGCACAATTCCTGTGATGCACAGTACCACCAGGTGCTGTTCTTCATGGCACCACAGGTGCCATGACAGTTGGTCTTGCATCAATATGCATTTGGAATCTGGATAAACTGCATTCCAAAGGCACAACTAGCTTCCTCTTGCATTGGATGGCATGCTGCACCGATCTTAACAACTGCTCAGAAGCACAATTGTGTGGATCATCATCATTTTTGACCAGGACCAACCAGCAGCACCAGGGCTGTCGAGTGACTAAGGGAGGCTGTAAACAGTATGGGACCGAGCAATTGCACTTGGGAATAGAGCCTTGCACAGCCTCACAGTTGCAAGGACCACATTCACCTCGTGTGCTCCAAGTGACAGCTTACCCAATTGCCCCGAGGCATCGGCATCGTCACCACCTTCCAGGCCTGACCTGACAGCCACTGTTGATGAGGATCGCTGGTGCAGGCTGACATGGCCAGCTTGGGAATGCCAACGACAGTCAGCAGCCGGACCCCCATGGTTGAAAACCCCCAGGCCAGCAGTGGAAATGGTGCACAGAGTCAAGGGCAGGTTTTGGGTGCTGAGCAACCGGCGAGAAAGCAGCCCTTGGACCTGTTGATCAGTGTTTGCTTCAGCAATGCCTGAATGCACAGCATAAAGCATCCTGTGTGAGAAGCACATATAGAAACAAACACTGCTCTGGATAGCACTTGATGTATTCCGTTTTGCAGTACTGCAGATAATCCTACCTACAGAGGGACACAATCAAGCACCACAGTATTGCAGTGTTGCAGATAACAAGACCATTGTCGCTGTTGTGTTTCGATTGCCTGCCAAATTGACTACATGTGAGAAGCACAACTGGCAGGTCATTGTTGATGAGACAAAATGAATGAATCCTCAACATTTGTCAGTACTGTATGCCTATCCTGTGTTAGAAAATCTCCAAAGATCCCCACAACAGTCAAAAGCATTACACTTCAATGGGCACTGTGGCACCCAACTAGAACCAACAATAAGTGGAGAAATGGTCCCCAGTGTGGTGCCACATAAATAACATAATGCAGCACACGACATGGAAACGTGAGAGAATCAAAGCTCACTGCTACAGCACAGATGGGGATGATGCATGACAACTGCAGGAGACTAGCTTGTCCTCCTTGCCAAGACTACATGCTTACATTGGACGTTGCACTGTGTTGAGCGTTGCTTGGCTCGGTTAACAGCCCTTTCCATTTGTGCAACTGGGTGGTTTGGCAAATCATGACATTACGAAACTCAATGAGCATTGATTGGAAGATTCGGTACTCGTCATTATCTGCTAGGCACGGCGAACATGTTCGTTATGCACATTCTGACAGCTGTACACCATGGGATTCACCAGATTGGGCATTGTCCTCGACCCTATGCAGAGATTCTTTTGTGCAGTGTGAGAGATAACGCACAAGTATTGTGCAAGTGTGGTACAACTGGCAAGGGAAGATTGATGGACTTATTGACAACAAACAACTCAAGGCAATTATTTAGTTAACCCATAAAGCTTCGCATGTTCTGTGTTAATGTTGTGGTGTAACTGAATGATTGTATCCTAAAAAAAGCGTGACAAAATACGTTTGTCCTACTACTGGCTCAGCATGAAGACAACTTCATCTAGAGCTCAATGCTGGACAGCACATATTTTCGAGAGGGGCGAAGGAAGCGATCACACTAGGTCAACTCGTAATGGCCTTCTCAACAGCAAAATTTCATTTTATCCCAATCTCCACATATCAGTCAGGTCGATGATTCAGCCCAAGCAGTGGGATTAGTGGAGCCGTTGCCCTTAGTTCACAGACGTTGCTCCCACAGATGCAGCCACAGCTGCTTGAGGCATACATGGTGCAGAGTCAGAGCTTGTTGTGTTTCTACTCATGCTGTGGGCTCTTTACTGAAACTGGAGCTTCTTGACTACTTTGGGCCTGGAGATTTGGGTACAGTGACAGCTAGCGACTTCCACCTTTTGGCAACAGAAGCAGCAGAAAAAATATTGCAGCAATCGGATGCCGCATGAGTCTTTGTCAGAGCCATTTGCCAAAATGTGTCAACTGCATTTCCCAGTCACCCATTGGCGATGCCGCCCAAATGTTCCCACCCAACCGTGATGGCAGCCACGGTGCAAGAACTACGCTCTGCCTTGTGCGTAGCAAATTGCAAGGAATTGAACCATGGCCACTTCATGCGCCTCTGGCGGCCAAGAGACAGTGCCCTCCAATCGACCTCACGGCATGCCTTGCCGCAATGCCGGCAGTGTGAGCTGCTCAACCTCAGCGTCGCGCACCTTGCTGGGCGAACAGGCGCTCCCACGCTCGCAGACCGGCGAACCGCCCTTCAGCTCTCTTCAACACTCTGGAGCCGAAGCGAATGGCCATGGAATCACAGAGGGCCGCAATTCCGCCGGTGTCTGGCCCGGCATCGACTTGAACTCCCCCGTTTGCCATGCGATTGCATGTGTCCTAGAGCCAACACGCATGTGCTGACTAATTCTCCGTACGTAATGTGCGCGGAGCCACGTAATGACCACCGTTTCAGTGGGTGGATCGATTGTGTTTAATGGCTAGCGACTGCTCTGCATTTCAAAGAGCGTTTACTTTTGCATGGGATGGCCTGAGGCTGACCGCCGCTGCAGCGATGGCTGAGAATATTCACGAACTTCTTGATGTTGTGCCGGTGTCTTTGCAACTGGTTTGGCTGACGGGATGCCCTTTTTAATCACGCACATGTTTGTGTGAGACAAAGTGAACTTCTATGGAAAAAACTCTGTGCAGCTGGTGTGGAAATGCCTTGGTCGAGATGTCTTGCCCACAAGAAATCTTGCGGGGAAATTGTGGACGTCTTTCCCACAGCACTTTTGAATATTTGTTCGCTTTGGTTTGTGAGAAACTTTAAGGCGTTCAAAAGGCCATATGAACGATCTGAGTGGTCAGAAATTCAGTGTTCGTGTGGTGGAGTGGTGCTGAAAGGTCGCACTTCTCTCTGCATTCTTGCCTCGTCATTGCATTTTTGACGACGGTAGAAAGTCTGTGTTCGAGTATGCCAGTTTCCAACCTGATTCTGTGTGAAAGGACATCCATGGCGTAGTTTGTACTTGCCTATGGGATAATTGGGCATGTGAATAAGCTGCTTGACGGGTATTTGAGACGGGGGGGATCCCAGGGTTGCATGCCGGTGGTCAGAAGAGAGAACACAATCTTAGAATGCTATAGATAGCTATCCAAGCAGGAGAAGTGCCGTGTCTGACAGAGCGGCACCCCACAATGTAAGCTATTCTCTGGTGTCGCGGCGTCGGTGGTCTAGTGGTAGAATAGCTCCCTGCCACGGAGCAGACCCGGGTTCGATTCCCGGCCGACGCACATTACTTTTCGCTCCAGTTTTTCCCGCTGTTCCATTTCCCAGCTCTCCTTGCAAGGCAATCGAAGACCCATTTGGGCTACAGGGCAGGAGCTAGGTGACATACAAGGTCCTTGCTTGTCCATTTGTTTACAGATGTGCATGAACAAAGGAATGCACACGCATGGACGTGCACGAATAATGTGTATGAGATTTGTCACACCTCCATCATCTTTTTTCAGATAGTTTTCACCAGCGATTAGAGATTCGCGAACCTTCCTTTCTCTCTATCTTGAGTACTTCAAACCAGGCTTGGTTTTATGTTTACGTTTACGTTTTTACTTTTACGTTTTTATGCGTAAAAACGTAAATTTGCAAAAGGCCCTATTTTTACGTTTTTACGGCTCCCTTGGACGCCCAGATTACGTGATGAAAGTTGCGTACAATGATCAGTCCTCTGCCATATCCAGCACCCGCAACACAGTGTCCACCTCGCCCTTGGCAAGGGCGATGATGGTGTTTGACAAAAACTCGTTTTCTGCCCTTCCAGGGCATCTGGCTGCCGCTCTCCGGACTCCATAAGTCTGTATGTACTGTCCTTATGTACACCGGGCAGTTATTACGTTGTATTTACGTATTTTTACGCATTTTTACGCGTAAAAAAGTAAAAACTATTCTTACGCGTAAAAACGTAAATACGATCAGTTTTTAGGGCGTAAAAACCAAGCCTGCCTGTACAGGCGTCCGCAGGAGGTCTTTTAATTAGGATCGGTGGTCACCATAGTTTGGATGATCTGTTTCGAAGTTGCCAGGCCCACAGCATGCCGTACATCTGCGCAGATGTACGCATCAGCTGAGATGTCTACAAGCTATAAATTGAGTTGTTAATACAGATCTTGAAAATGATATCACGTTTAGGTGTCCATAACTTGCGCTCTGTGCTGCAGTGAATCATTGCCAGTGATCTGATGACATCGTCAATTGCTTCCCTTGGTTGCAACCATTTCTATTTATTCGCGGCTAGATGGCGCGCATCACAAAGCATTGTAGAAAGCTTTTGGAGCTTTATGCGATAGTTTGCGGTGCACTGAATGCAGCCACAGCTTCCCAATCTTTAGCCACTCCGAAAATATTGCCCTCCTCAATTACATTTAAGTCAAATGTAATTGTTAAATTACAAATACGCAAATCGCCACTTAAAAATCAACAGCCAACTAACGAACAACTGCTGGACTCTCCATTGATGCACAGGGGATACTAAGGCACTGGTTTCCAAACTGCATGGCCTTTTCCCAAAGAAATTCATGTCGTCCCAGCAGGCAGGAATATGAGCAAAACGATGCCCTATTAGCCGAATAAGGTTCAAGCAAACCTCTACCGTATTATCAAAATAAGTTCATAAATATTTGATAATGTTCATAGTTGCGGTCAGCTCTAGCCATCACATGCAGAATCGAAAATTGAAATGCGAAGCAACCGCTGGCTGTGAAATATAACTGATCCACCAAATGAAACTGTGGCCAGGACGTGGCTGCGCATCCACATAATTTACATACAACCAGCAATGTAGAACCTCGTAGGTAGTTTCATTTAATGTGCAGTATTTCCAGAAATGTACCTGTTGCACCTGATAAAATAAAAGAGGTCCAGGTGAAGAAGCTTGTTCAACATTGGTCCCACAAAGCGCCACGGCCATTGAATCTGGTAAACCTCCAAATCTTCCCATTCTAGTCCTGGTATACTCCGATTAGCGTATTCTGTTTAAAGCCGATCATTCCGATTTTGGAATCATTGCAGCACCGTGCCACCCCATAACCTCACGTCCCACGCTTTTCGCGCCACCCTCTCTTTTTGGTGTAGTGATTGGTTGGGCAAATATTTGGTAAATTATAAGGACAGGCAGGGGCTGGCACCGCAATTGATTTCAGCGTTGTGCACTCTGAACAGCGTTACCCGCAAACCCTCTTTTGTTGTGAGAATTGATGATTGTTTATGCAATTGAAGTGGAGCCAACGCCTGCCCCCCATATACATGAAATTGCACGTCCCTGGCCGTGCCCTTCAGAGATTTGGAAATATAGAATACAGGAGTTTGTAGAAAATATAGATATAGAGGATGTCCTATATCCAGGATGCGGCACGCTGTTCTGGCGCAGGCATGTACCGGCTCTTTCGCCACAGGCGCAACCCAAATCTGGACTACAAATATCCGGGACATCTCGCGATACGTTGATTTCGGCACTGACAGTCACACTGCGATTTGGAGACTTCGACAGCAGCACTCTGTGTGCATGTGCCACTAGCACTGCGGCGTCACAGTACTATGACGCAGTACTGTGTAATAGCACTGTGACGCCGCAGTGCTGGCGCAGTGGCGCACCAGCTCATCGCTGCAACAGGATGGTCTCTCGCCACGTTCCAGAGATTGATTGATTGGCAGGTCGTTTGGGACCGACTGCAGCAGGTGACTCATCACCACCTTATGTAGGAGCGTATTCTCGCGATTCGGCCCTGCCCGCAGATATCCTCCCTGCAGATGCACCACCACATCCCTCTCCGCGAAAGTGACGCGAGGCTTTTTCGCTCAGAATTCTGACCAACCTGGAAGTCCGACGAGGTGGTGCATGAACCCACTGCTCCCCCCCGGCAGGCTGCGGCATGAAACTAGTCGCTCTATCTTTTCCGTGAAAATCCCTTCTTGTTTGGACACCCTAATCCTAAACCACCGACCCGCTGACCCACGTGGGCCTCGTCAGCGCAAGAGGAAGGGATCTTCGCGGAAAAGACAGAGGGACTAGTACATTCTCCACAGGCTGCTGGGCCACCTGACTGGCCTCTCGAGATCAATACACGTAACACAGCAAGGGGGCCGTCATAGGGCCATCATCTCCCCCCCCCCTTTCGTAATCGGCCCCCCAGCTTGCAACGTTGCTGTCCCTCGTACAGGCATCCCCGCCATATTCAACCCCGGCCGTGAGGCGAGGCATGACGGTCACAGCCACGCACGCCGGCCTACAAACGCCCCTGGAGCCGCCCGAGCGCGTCACGCAATGCCTTGTCAAATGCAATGCCGTGAGCTCCAGGCCGTGACTCTCGTTGCCGCCGGGACGTCCAATAACAGTCGCCCCACCTGCCAGCGCACCCGTCCCCCCACGTTGCAAGGTTATTCTTGCACAGCCACCCTCGCGCGCCACCCCCACCCCAACCCCACCACCCACGCCCACCTGCCTGCTGGCTGTGTGGACAGGATGGCTTCCTGTGCCGTGATTCGCGCCATGGTGCTGGCCCTCGTGGCTTGGATTGGGGTCGTCGACGCATTCCCAACACAGAGGCGGCGCGGCCTGAAGCAGACCGGCGCCGACGACGACAGCCAGGTGGCCCCGCCGTCGATCGGTGCCGACGTGCCGATCACGTACTTCGGGCCGGCGCCGTCCCAGGTGCAGAGGGAGCTCATCGGGCCGTTCCAGCTGCTGAAGTCAGGTGCGCGCAGTTGGCCCCAATCGACTGGGACATCCGTCGTTGAATCATGCCTAGCTTTAGAGCGCAAATTTGGGCAGCGCCGGCGAGGGAGTGCGTCATGGCGCACTGGGTGCCTTCCGCTGGCGCACGATGATCTCGGATGCCATCAAAGGCGGAGCCATTTCGAATGGTGTAGCGGATGCATGAGTACACGGCTTTGCGCCGCGCCCACGAGAGATTGCGAGTCTGCGCATTGGGCGTCGCTCGCCTGCTTGCGATGTTCTCGGGCGCCACGAGAAGCGAAGGTGTTTCGCATGGTGGCACGGGTGCGTGCATGGCTTGCTGTCCTCGCCGAGCCTAGGACGGAGGCAAGAATCGAGGCCCGAGCTCCTCCGTGCGAGGCACTTTTCCTTTTGAAAATGTGGTGGCGCGAAGATTTAGCGTCTGCAGACGGTTCGGATCTCGACCAGCAGGCTGCGCCAGCGCACCCGCTATCGGAAGCTCGCCGCGTCGCATCCGAGGCGAGAGATCCGGCGCCAAAACTGTTCTCGGCGGATCTTGTCCTGGCCGATGTGGGAACTAGG